GTTTTTCCTGTGCTCGAAATCAGCTCTCAGTTCCACGCGTTTTCGAGAAGCGAGTATCAAACTATCCTGACCCATATTTGTTGAAAGTTTACTAGTTTCCACAGCTAATCGAACAGCTCAACACAGCAAAGTTGAAAATGTTCTCGCTTTTTCTTCAACAGCTCATCGGCAGGTCTATGTAGGTGTCACTATGAAGTCGTTGCAACTGCCTCACACCAATTCACGCCGATCGAGCGGGTCTCGACCAAGACAGCACAAAAATTATCAACCGTCACAAAAAAGAAAAAGGCAACTTGTGGTTATGACTAAACATACGGACGATTCAGCATCCGAAGATGATGGTAAGATTATTTTTTGTTTTTATGTAACCCAGAATTTTCATCTGTTTTTTTTAAATAGTACGTCTCTACCTTGTTTATAGGTACCCAAGGTGTGCTTCTAGGCTGGATCCAAACATTTTTTGTTTTGAAGACGGTTCATTATTATCATGGAGGACACTTTTCGTGATTTTTTATTTACACTATAAAAATAAGACTCAACGAATACTCCTTGTCTGTCATTTTTTCTTCCGGCCTAGACACTTTGGAATACCTGTAGCCAATTGTTTATGACTCATTTGTAGGGGCCAATCAAATGGTAGAAAAAGTACCTCTTGACCAATCCAAACATGCAAAGCTACCCACTTTAGCTATTTCGGGCCTGCAATTCATTTGGACAACATAACCACATATATCAATTTTAATTGAAATATTATAAAGTAATTAGTGGTTTGGATTTGTTTCTTGCGAGTGGAAAACATGTTTACCGAACTTTTTTAGAGCTAGCAACATGGGGGTTTAGCCAACTTGTCAAATGTTAACTGTTTTATTAGTTTGGCAAGCAATTCAAAATTGGAAAGCTAGAAATTAATGACCTTGGTATGAGCAAGATTTCAGACTTTGTTTTTACATCTGCAATAAAAATTATATGGTCATTATTTGATTACTAAAATATGAGATTTGGTCAAAATAGACTTATGCAGTTGTTTTCAAATATTGTGTTAATCAGTTTACATGACTTTCTACAAGAAATAAAAAATCATTCATGTTTACTCAAAATATATTCATTTAATTTTGAAAACATGCAATTATTCTCTGTGCATGGTGCAATCCAAAAAGTTGTCTAGCAATGTATGTTGATTTTTCATATTTCTCTTCTGTAAGAAATCTTTCATTGTCTTATTCAAAAACATCTTTGTAAACATCCTTTTTTATCACATGTGTAAATATGGTAGTTTTTGGCTTTTTAAATTAATTGTGAGACTAAAATATTGCACCTTTATGAAGAAAACCTGAAAGAAATACAACATGGAAAGGCTAACGATTAAAAATTTCAACCTAGATTTTTTTGTTAAATAAAACTTCTCAAAAGAAACCCTAGTATCATTTTTTGAGAATTAAGAATATTTACTGTAAGATTAGAATGTTTTGTTACTTCTTTTTTCAGGGTGATTCTCATTTTCCACTTGTAAATGCAAATTATCCCCAAACGTTTCTTGACTTCACATAATGTTCATATTTTGCCTGATAAAAAACTGTTACTCTACATGGAAGACAAAGATTTCTAGAGTAGATTTTGTTGGCAAAAACTCTTGCAATATCATCTGTGTACCCTATGCAAGTTGTAGAACTGATTTTATGTTAAAAATTGAGAGCAGTGCTGAAATCACCTGCTGCCCTTGTTTGTGTCTTGATGAACAGTGCTGTGATATAATTTTTCAAAGAAAGCTCTTTCAGCCTTTCATAAAGATTAAGGGATTAAATGCTGCTGCGATCTTGTTAGGTATGAATAGTGCAGAGTCATACAAAGTGAAATGCATACTCTTTAGAAAGCGTATATATATAGAAGAAGTGCACAAGTAGAAGAAGGCAGATACTCTTTGAAGAAATAGGCATCAATTTGATTTTTTGCGCTCTTTTTATTTTCAGTGCTGTGCTCACATGTTTGGACCATTTCATGGTCGTCTTCAGAGCAACTGAAAGTGTTTCATTTTCGTTAGCTGCTTTTATAGCTTAGAATTCAATTAAAATATCAATTAAGTCTTAATTTGGAAGTGTTTCGGTATGTTATTGTTGTTGTGGCTGTTGTTTGTGCTGTGGCATTCTCATGGTTTGTGTTCCTGTTGTTGTTTGGTTGTGTGCTTTATTTGACGTCAGGTTGATTCGATGAGCGGTAGTTGCTAGTTTCCTTGCCTAACGCTCCTTCTTTACCAGTGGCTTTTTGCTTTCTGCTTTGTTTTCACCACCCCGGGTGTACTTTTACCCTGTTCTTTCTTTATCGTTCTGTTTCTTGTCTTTTTAGCGTTCTCTGCTTATATATATATATATATGTTATTTATTCTGCATTTCTCACCTTCAGCTGGGCCTAGAAAGTTTACATGTGTCATATAATTAGCCATTATTGTCCTTGCTTGTAAAATGTGTTCTTATGTCCTATTGTTCTGTATTCCTTATTTTACGCTCCAAATGTAAGTGAACGTTATTCTGAAGAAGCATATTGCGAAACCTTAATCAAGTTGTTTTATTACTGATCATCTATATATATGTATATATTCCAGATTGCGTTGTCTATTCTGACGTGACAGTGTTTGATGTGCAAAAGCACAGAGCAATAGATATGATAAAAAATACAATATAGACTAGAAATGAGACATGTTCTCTGTTACTCTGAGTTTCGTGCTTGCGCACTCATCAGACAGACTATAATGAAGAATATTCCTGCTACTGCGGTATAAACATACAAAAGGTGTGATAAAGTTAGACAAAAGAAATTTCAGAAGGAACCTTCAAACAACGATTTACACAACACCAACTCTCATTCCACATATATATATACATGGATATTCAGAAAAAACACTATCGCTTAAACGTTTCGACCGAAGTCTTCATCAGTAATCATTATATATATTTTACTTCAATTTTTATAGGGTTACTAAAACATAGATTGATAGAATTCTGTAAGTGATCATTAGGTAACATAACCTGTCAGGTTTATTTACAAAGAACAAGTAGATATAGGAGTGGTTGGGGGAAAGTGTTAAGTAACTAGTGTTTTGGGTTCTGTATGCATATGGGCATACCTTTCAGAGGAAGTTTGTTTCCTCACTAGATGTTTCAATCATCATGTCAGATGTTTGTGGATTGTGATCCGTCAGAGCAATGCCAATCGAGTATAACTTTTCCTGAATTTGACCTTAGTCTGGGTAGACACTTCCACGTGTAAAACATTGTGTAATACTTTATGTGACTGTCTCTTACCATTTTATCCTCCGTCAGTAGATGCTCCAGTACAATTTATTTAGCATGCATGAAATTTTCATGCTGTATGTCAAATAAAAAAACATGTTACAATCAACTAACTTTCAGGCTGTCTCCTGATTTCCATTTATCCTTCCCTCTTCCTTTCATGTCATCTACCCGTCTCTTCATATATACACATGTCACTGGTAGGTCAGTTCAAATGTCTTAGTTTGACAGCCTATTTTTTTGATGATCTTATTTTGTTGTAAAGCAGCATTCTTTCAAAGTTGACTTTTCAAGAACTTTTTCACAAAATGTTTGTCTACAATATGTTAAAGGACATATTTTCATACGCACTCAGTTTCAAGGCCAAAAGTTTCTTTCATGTGAAAACTACCTCATCATTGATATAACGGTAACCATGAATTGATTTCATTTGAAAACTACCTCATCATTGATTTAACCGTAACCATAAATTGCTTTCATGTGAAAACTTCCTCATCATTGATATAACCGTAACCCTTTATTGCTTTCATGTGAAGACTACCTGGTCATTTATATAACTGTAACCAAAAATGAGACATTTAGCATTGACATCTAAATGATCGCTTTTGTCTTGGTTCTATTCTCAAACTCCTGTACTTTGATTGTGTTCTCCTAAATGCCCCATACAGTTGGCTATAAATTTACTTTATATGCTGAACGTAGGGGTCTTTTATGGTAGATGTAGATTGTTTGTTATAGGGTTTCAATTGCAAAGTTTAAAAGTAGGGGACAGTCACAGACTCTGTAGACCTTGGTTCACTCTCTCCGTTCTTGTGACGTCAGAAAATGCATTTTTTGCCAGGGATGGCTCTGTCTCCTCAGATAAATACATTTTGTCCAGCCTACTTCGCAAGACTCACCCGAGATGACAGAAAAATTTGACAAACATGGACACCACCACCTTCGTCAAACTTCGCTCTGAATTGAAAAAGGCCGGATGTGCCTATTCTCAGTACACGCTTGGCATCAAAAGCCGGGGAACAAACTTGTTGAATAAAATGACAATAGCACACGCAGTGCTAATTTTGGTGGTTTCAGAATTGCACGCTATCGTTGTAAGCGCTGGTTGCATAACCTCATGTTTCTATCACATGCTGCCGGCTGGGCGTTTTGTGTTTTGATTGTCAATAAAATAAACGTCATGGCGTTTTGTATTTTTATGTAACACAATGATCAACTGCTCGCGTCATTCAAGTCTCGGAAGAGGCTTGACGGGGTTTGTTTTGACTGGCGGAGAGTTCCGACAGCTTCATTTGTAGTCATTGGCTTGAAATGCTTATAGCCTAAGATTTTGTTTTGTCACCTCCATCATGGAACTTTTGCATGATATGTTCTATGAGATTGCCTTCCAAGACTATGATGGTATCATCATCTCCCAACTAGTCTATAATCCCAAGGCATGGGACCCTCAAAATCTACATGTTGTCGAATTTGATATTTTCTTTTATTGAAAATAAGGATTTTGGATTCCCTCATTTTTTACAAGAGCAATTTTATAAGAACAAGTTCCTCAGAATTGGTCAATAATAAAAAACAAATTAAGAGCAAGCTAAGGCTTATCTACTGTGAAATGTCATTTTGAACAAGTTGGGAGACCTGTTTTGAAAATTTCATCTTGAGAACGAGGAGTTATATGCCTTCTCGAGGTGCCTTTCAAACTTTGATAAATTTAAAACTTTTCGGAAAGTAAAGGATGTCTCTCGTAAATGAGGCCTGAACACTCCTCTTGAGCACAATAGCTAGCGATTGAACACCCTGATAACTTAAAAACAAATTGAAGACAATCCAGCCTCAAATTTTCGAAATTATTAAAAATAGGCAGCCTGAACTTGTCACAGCTTTTTCATAAGAATCGCCCCGCAAAACGATACTGAGTGTCTAGATTGCCCATTTGTCGAAGCGATTGTATAGAAAACGAATCCGATCTGATGTTAACTGTATCTTCATAGCACTACCTCAGTTTCTTGCCACCTTTGATGTCTCAATTTACCCTATCTACAAATTTCTGTTTTGATGTACAGCTTTCCTTTTTACCGCCAGCAGTTCCACCCGTTACATGCACACGTTAAAATTGCTGATGTCTCCTTATCAATTTGCTTTGAATGTTTTTTATGTTTTTCATTTAATCAAAACCTGCCAATACAGTAATAAAATTCAAGTCAATGCAGGTGAATGACCTCGTGTCAATAATTAGGCCATTTATAGGCTGGTTAGTACAAGCTACAAAAATAGATCAAATTGACCTCGATTACGCAATTACATACAGGTCATTGCAGTTATCATAGGCTTTAATAAATTCACTTGCACTGGACATTGCATGTCCAAAGCCACCAGATATAACTACCATCCAATCATTTTTGTCAAACTGTTCACGTGATGCGGACAACCAACCAACTTTGTGATGGTTAACCTTTCCATGCAGAGGCATCTAATAATATCTAGATATATGCGATGTCAAACGCTTTGACTTGTGATGTTATGAAATTTTATTGCTGGCTTAGCCGGTGTTAATTATTCAAGACCAACTAAGGATTTGCAATCAGTGATTTTTGTCAATGTTTCTCTCTGCTTTGCCGCAATTGGCTTAAAGCCCTGAGTCGCGCACTGTCCTAGCATTTCAGATATTGTTGGCAGGTCAAGTATAGATTGAGAATTGCTTTGATCATTTCAACTAGCTTGCGAAACCGATATACAGAAGATTTAAAACAAGGCGCATCGAAGGTATGTTTGTACAGCTATCACTGAGGTATGCGGTAAAACATGTTTCTACAAAGGCTGTGGATATGATTTACTTCATTACTGCATCATGTTCGCCTTAAAGCTTGTTTTTTTATTAATCTTCTTCAATTTCAATTCACTATAGGGAACAGTCCGCATATAGAATTTCCATTGGCTTTGAAATCTTAGTCGTTGACCTAGAAATTCACCTTAAAATCAATGCACGGCATTTTAGCTAACCGACCTTTTCCAGGAATCGTCTAACTGTTGGTTTTTAGCATTTTAAGCCCCCCCCCTCCTCCTCCTTAAATTTTTAGTCCAAACGTTACCGAAAGATCCCTATCATTTCTAGTTCACCGGCGAGCAAAGTGAAATTTATAGAAGACTCGTTTGACTAAGTCAGATTATTTTTTATTCCCATTAGATTTCTTCGATCTTATTCAAGTCGAAAACTTAACTGAACTCTGACTTTGGGTGGGTTGGACTTTTCTTTACCTCTTTTGATGGTCTGACTTAACAAGACCCAACTGCTTTTCTATTGAACTGGATCAACTTGAAGTCTGAAGTGACCTTTCTACTGAAAGGATTGTTGTCGCTTTATGGTTACATAATTTGAATGTTCGGTGGTAGAAAAAGTCTAAAAAGCTGTGAAATTCGCAGCATTTTGCAACCTCCTGCTGTGACGAACAAGGCTTTTTCAGATAATATCTAAGGATGCATGAAAATTTTACAAGCATAAATCCCAAAACTGTTCTTCACCCACGAACAAATCGTTTGAAAACTATTGCGTTCTTTGTAACCTGCTGCCTTGTGATAGCCCGTCGCAAACTCTTGTGGATCTATGAGCCGAATTCTGACGATGCTGCATCAAAAATCCTACATTTCGGAAACTCTTTCAGTGATTTTAAATTCAAATGATTGCCTGGAAAAATGTTCTTGAGCGTTTTCCATAACTCTTTCCAGTATTATTTTTTTACAATGGCTCGACCTCTCAACTGTCCGCCGCTACCCAAAAGTTCACCCTGAAACACCCTTTCGAATTTAGTAAAGTCAAACCCTTGTTCTTGTAATGTTCTTATTCAATCTTCTGTGAAAATTCGTCTCAAATTTTCAAGGTTTCTAGAAGAGGCAGGGACCTAGTATAAAACGGAGTATAAAACTATACGAAAGGAGCCCCTGATGAAATACGTACAACTGAATTGTTCGCAATGTGACCATTTGTTACTGTGGCAACATTTTTTGTTTGTGCTCAGTGCCTGACAGCATTGACAGCATAAGTGTTGTATGTAAGGATTATAGGGATGGGGGAATTTATTCAATGGAAACAACCAGACTGTTTTGACGTACATCGAATACGAAAGTTCGTATTGTGGTTTTGCTAAAGAGTAAACAAGGCCATCGTGACGTCAGCAGCGATTCTCAGTGTCCAACAAAGTGATGTCTTTTAATGAATCCTTGTCCTAAAGCCGCTGTTTCACTCGTTTCGACTTCCTTTATCCTCCTCTCATTTACACCATCCCTTTATGCCTGTTTTGTCAGTGTCGGGATTGTCTCGCAGAACAGTGGTGGCGCCAGGGGAGGGCTAGGAGGGGCTACAGCCCCTCTGTCGGAAGCATCTAGCCCCCCATCGGAGGAAATTTTATGTTATTGTCGGAGCAAATTTGACAAATAACGTACGAAAACTGCTTATTTTAGTCATTTTAGCCCTCTTGTCGGAAGCTCCAACCCCTCTGGCGGAAGATTTCTGGCGCCACCTCTGTCGCAGAAGCTGGTAGTAAACAGGAAGGTTTTTTCCATTCACCCCCGCAAAACGAGGGCTGTTGCTTTTCCGCCTTTGCCCTCTTGCAATTGTTTTACCCCCTTTGTGTTTCGCCCCTTCGCCTTTCTATATGCACGGATCCTTCTGTATTGCATAATGTTTCTGTTACAATGCATGCTTTAATTGCATTATAAAGGCAGCCGTTTTATTAAAATGCAGCGGTAGGAGACAGCCAAAACAGGAGCTTCTTGACATACTTACCTGGGGGGGGCAATTGCCCCTCCAGCCCCCAAGATGTGCCATTGTCTTACATAAATAAAGGGAGGCTTGTCTCAAGCAGCTAATTGCCCTTCGAATAGGCTATGAGCTAAAGTCGAAGCTACACTTCTTTGAAATTTACCCCTGTTACCGTAATATGTATGGCCTTCTTTTCAGGTGTTTGGTCTATTGTCCGCCATGTTTTCTAGGTACTGCATCTAGGTACCGCATCAGATTAGCTAATCTTATAAATGAATAACCAGATTGTAGAGATAAGTTGGTACGTAAATCCTCTATGTTTGCCAGTTTTGTTATCAAAACAGTTGCAGGTCATTTCACCATGGACTCGCGACCCGAAAGAGGAGTGGATGACGTCATTTTTGGCAGAAGGCGCTCAGAGTTTCTTGTCAAGATAGTAGATACAGTAAATGAGATAGCTTAATGTAGATCATTTTTTGGGGGATATTTGCAACAAATGTTCGCTGTATGGAAATGCATACAGCTTATAAAAGATTCATGATGCGATATTTAATTGATGCGGATATCTGTAAATGGCATCAATTGGACGTTGATATCTTTAAGGGTATTCGGGTGCTATCGTTTCGTGTATGTTGCTCATTAAAATTGCCTGGCTGGCTGGTTTTTAATAGCGTTTTGCTTATTCCTCAGGACATTACGTGATGCCTGCTTCAGAGCGTGTTCGATTTATTCTCGGTGCCATCAACGAGAAGGATGAAAATGCCAAGGAGACAACTTGTACCAAGCATGAACTATTCACAGAATTGGAAGAATTTGTTACGTATGATGATGGACACGAGGAATGGAAAGAAACTGCAAGATGGTAATGTTTTGATAATTACTTCATTTTACCTGAAATTTTTTAAGACAACCATTGCTTAACGTATTTTGAATTCTTCTGAAATGAATTCTTCGCATGCTATAAGCGCCGAAAGTCGAATTTGGAAAAACGTTTTTCTCTTTTTTTAGAGGTTTCTGTTAATTGAGGTTTCAGTTATTTTCGATTTCTGTTTGATGTGAGCTATAATAGAGTCCTGAATAGAAATACGGTGCTTCCACACGCAGATACCCGCGTCTGCGATCGTCCTAATTGCAGCGAGGCATGTGCCAGAGTTTGTGAATGCCAAAATGACATGCGATAAATGCCGGCCCAAAAATCTGAACACGTCTGATCTCCCAAAATGCCTATTTTGGAGAAAAAAATTTTCTAACGAATTTTTCTACAAATATTCATGTGAGGTGTAATTTTGCTTAGTTGTGGTGAAAGGCACAACCTCTTCTTCCGCGCCCAACAGTTACAACCTTACCGGAATGTAATTTGAAATCACGAAAACTAATCATCGTGTTTGTGGGACAAGATAATCAAAACTGCTGTTGGTCGCAATCGACCTCGGATTTATTAGAATCACTAGAGTTTGCAGATGAAAACGGATATAAACTTGCTTGATTTTGCCTTACGTTTCCACCAACAAATTGTAAAACGGTGCCTAGGCCCTTTAACCCATAACAAACGAGTGCGAAACCAACAAGTTTAGAAACGCTGATCCAATTGACAAGGCCTGTTCATTTCTGGTGACTCGGGGTAAGTCAAAATCAAGAAATCCACCGTTGCAACGCGCTGCAAAACGCTCCAAGGTTAATGTTTTGACCAGAACTACCTCAAAAGGGACAAGCTTTGATCCATTTTTGATCAATCCACTTTTACGGTGCACCGAAAGCCTAACTGTAAACATTGTATGTGATAACTACTCCCCAGCAATTTTCTAGCTGCCTAGGCCTTAGATTTTATGTAGGACTATGTCAAAGGGTGGGGGGCTTTTAGAACCCTGGCAGATACCAAAGTATACACTTAAATCAAGACTTATTAATTTATCATTTCTGTGGTTATATTCTTTGACACAGAGTCAGTATTTTCTGTGTTATTTTAGGTTCAAGTATGAGGAAGACGTTGAAGAAGGGGGTGACAGATGGAGCAAGCCCCACGTTGCAACCTTGTCACTTTACAGTCTTTTTGAAGTTAGGAACTGTTTAATGTCTGGAACTGTAATATTAGACATGGAGGCGGACAGTCTAGCACAAATAGCTGGTAATTTATTTGCGCATTTGCTATGTTTGAAGTATATCTTCTGCCGCAATTCGCCTAAATTCAAGTGAACCTGCCTTCATTTTTTCGAAGATTTAGTGTCGTCATAATAATAGAGGTATTTGATGGCCGTAACGGTGAGTCCTTGGATCACGTCACCCTTGTGGCTCCTCCCATACTTCATTTCAGTATCCATCCCCATGTGCTTAAAATGTTTTTGTTAGAGTCCCTAGCTATCTTCATTACAAAAGGACAAATTTTTGTTCAAACTGACTTCTTAGCATTTCTTAGCATGTCTAGTCTGGCATCCTTTCTTGTCAAAGTTGAATACGGTATATCAAGGATGTGTGTTTCTATAAACTTTGTATTTTGATTTATTTATTTTATTATTTCATTTTATCATATTTAAACACAGAAACCCTGCTACAAAGTCCAGAGAAAGTAAAGATTGATTTACATATAATGCTGGTCTTCCTAGGGATCGTGCTTCGGGAAAGGATGCTAATTTTGCAGGAATTCCTTTAATTTCTTTTTGAACGTGGTAATCGTGGAGCTCATCCTTATTTGTAATGGGATTTCGTTTCACGTCTGTGCACCACAATAGAAAAAAACTCAATAGAAAATTGATTTTGCAATTTCTTTCTGGCTTAATTTTGAGCTACGAAAAGGGTCGTTATTGTGTTTTATTTTCTTTGCTAGACCTCGTCCTTGACCATCTAATTTCCTGCAACAAATTAGAGGAGAATGCACGATACAAGGTAAGGGACACCTTACTTCGGCAGCACCGGCATCAGAAGCCCCAAGGGATTCGCAAAGGCCTAAGCAACATCATGGGCAAAAACAGGCCTAGTAGTAACCAAGCAAATGGCTTCAATTCGAGAAAGAACAGCACTGTCAGCCTGCCTGTGAATGAAAGGAACGCCGAGAATGGGGTTTATGCTACATTTCCAACTGGAAGGAAACCAGATGCAGATAAGATTCTATCATACAAAGTATGTACCCCCGGCTTTTCTTTTCAGCTGTTACACATTGATGTCATCAAACTCAAGGTTGTTCAAGAGTACCATCCAACAACCTAAAACGCATGTTGAACTACGTGATAAACTTTTTCATGGGGAAGGGCAAGTTTCAGAATAACAGTGATAGTGTCTAGACGGTCGTCTAGTTCTCTGAGAACCCCTCAACTCACATATTTCATTTTTAAGGGCTTTGGTGTCCATTTCAGTATGAGGTCTTGATACACGTCGTGCTATATAACATTGTTATCGTTTAAAGTGAATGTATAGAACCAAGAGTTATTGAATTAACCGAGGCCAACCAGTATTGTGATTTCTGGGTAACTTAGACTTATATGTAAACTTAGTCGCATTTTAATCAACACACAGAACTGACCAATCTGATCTTCTTCTTTTTCCTTTTTTCGTCTCCTCTTTTTCTTTTTCATCCTCTTCCTGTTCATCATCTTCATTTTCTTTTTTGTTTACCCCCATCCTCGTCATTATCATATTCGTTTTATTCCTCTTCTTCAACCTTTTCTTTATCTCAAGTTGTTCGCTTACGGAATCTGTTCTTACTAGCCTCCCTCCTCTATTCGTTTATCGTTGGCCAGGTTCCCATTCTTATTAACACTGTTGATTTCTGTGCCCTTTTTTGGTAGCTATCCAACTCTATCTTGGATTTCCTCCTCTCTGTATAGTATCGCTTTATCTTAGTATTCAAGGTCTGAGGGCGTGATAAAGTGTTTTGAATAAAAGTATAAATGTTTAATACTTGGCCATGTCTATTCACAAAGTTCTTATTTTTCAGAGATCAACATTCCACAGATCCGAATCTGTGCCCGGTCATCTGGTATACCAGGAAAGAAATCAAGCAACTGAGGATGTCAGCGAAAAGGTAAAACTTTTTCTATTATCATATGACCGTTAGCTTTGACAATAAACAAACCAAGATTTAAGCGTGTTGATAAAACACATCAAATAAAAGCATGAAATTCCAATTAAAGAAGAAACAAAAATGGTCTTTCTTCATTAGAGTATAATGTCTAGATTTCTTCAATTCTCCAAAGTAAGTCGTGAAATAGTTTTCGTGACAAAAATGCTTCCCAACCCTTATTTACTTTGGATTAAAAATTCAAATTTAGGATATCTCATGCATGGCTTTAACCTTGCTACTGATTGTCTGAATACTTTTTCCGCATCCATTCATTATTATGTTCATGTTAATTTTTAGCTGAGCTTATTAACAGATCATTTACTCATAGAGCAGCAAGTGAAGTGGAAACTTTGGAGATTAACATACACTTATTTATCCATAGACTTTTAGACTTCAATTTTATGTTTTCCCTAAATGCAGTTATGGAACCTTTTAACAGCTGGAACTTTGACGTCACCCTGTCCATATGCAATTTATATATCATACTTAACACTGTGCTATAGTCCCGTTTTAAGTTGATTTTTTTACTCTTTTCCAGCTTTCTGGCTTCATGAAGAAACTTCCAACGAATTCCGAAGCCTCAAACGTTCTTGTTGGTGAGGTCGACTTTCTTGTAAAGCCAATCACAGCTTTCATACGTCTGGAACAAGGTGTTATCCTTGGAGATCTTACTGAAGTACCTATCCCGACTCGGTTTCTTTTCATTATGATGGGCCCAGCGATCTGCCCGGGAAAATACCATGAAATAGGAAGATCGATATCAACGTTAATGGCAGACGAGGTAAGCATTCCGAGGCATTGCTTATGGTTTTCACAACAGTTTGAGAATATATTCTACAGTTTTAAGAATGTTTTCATATAAATAGCTTTTCAAATTGTCACTTGTTCAGAATGTAAAGATGTTTGAACGAAGGCGAAAATTTGAAAGTTCAAATTTTTTGAAGGCACATTTTTGCACACCCTTTGCCATGCTTACACTTGCTGTAAGAAAGAAAGTGAAGAAGATGAAATAATAGAGCTTAGGTCAAATGAGATTTTAAAATTCTAAGTTCCTCCTTTTAAATGGAGTAGCTAGAGTTTGTTGAAATTGACATGGTATCTTTTCACATAGAGGTTTTGTATTGAAGCGCAAAGCCATAAATCTGCTTCTCTCTCAAGGAATCAATAAAGACAGCCCGTATTCCTAAGCAGTAGAATTTGATTGAAACCTGCGTCCTTGTAAAAAACTACACGTGGTTTTTGCGAATGCCAAGACTTCTGCGATGCCTGAAATTGTTCTCATCAACTAAATCTCTCAATCTTCTAGATTTTCCATGACGTCGCATATATGGCAAAGAAAAGAGATGATCTTATTGCTGGCTTTGATGATTTTCTTGAAAAGGTAAATAGCTGCTTTATTAGCACAAGTTAAAGCATTTGTGCAAAGGAGAATGAAAAAGTTTTAGGTTGGAAAATGAACTTCCTTTTTGCTGCGATTCTTGTTTGTCTGTATTCTTCGACAAATGCGCCAACGTTTGAGGAAAATATTCCCAAAATGGACTCAAGTCCCCAAGACACAAACCCCCACGTAGTCGGCCCCTGTGTTTTTCTAATAAGATGCCTGAGCAAATTACATTATTGAACTTTGTTTGGTAGATACTGTGCAAATTCGGTTTCGTCTTGGTTGCCAAAATTGCACGGTTAATATGCCATTTTTCAGGTGACAGTACTACCCCCTGGTGAATGGGATCCTTCAATTCGCATTGAACCACCCCCTGAAACCCCAACCAGTGACAATCGCTGGCCAAACGGGTCAGATGGAAGGAGAAACGCGGACACTCATTCGTTGAATGGCGCGAGGACTGGTAACAGCTCTGATAACAATGACGAGGAGGATGGCCTAGCTTTCCGCTACTTTTTGAGAAACAAAGCGTATGTTTTCATTTATTTACTTGTTTATCAGCGATACCCAATAACTATTTTCTTCAAAACGGCCAGTTAATGGCAGCAAAAGTAAGGGTTTAGAAATTTGTGAGTATTTCAACTAATCAAGGAAAAATTCATCAAAACAAACATGAAAGGCGTCAGATATTGCACCCATAAAAAAGCTTTGTTTTATTTTTTACCAAGGTTTACTTTCAGTTTGTTATCCAGAGGAGAGATGTTCGGAGGGATATCTTCTGCACTACGTTTAATATGAGCCTTTGCAATATTCAATGAAGAAACTTGAAATAAACTCGAGCATTGCAATCTAATTTTACGTCCAACTAAATTTACTGATCCCCTCGAAAAGGTTTTAAAGTATTCATAATCTCGAGAGCCATCAGATTAGATCGAATAGTCATTTTGACCTATCTGATGGTTGATTGCAGCAAACACAATTTTTTTGTTTGAAATATTAGATTTTTCTTTCTAGAATTTTCGGTGGCTTACATCAAGACTTTTGTAATTGGAAAAAACGGACTGGAGATCTACGGGATGCCTGCAACTGGCAGTGTATTGGAACTGTTTTCTTTGTGTATTTTACTGCCCTTGCCATGATTCTTGTGTTTGGTACACTTTCACAACGAGCTACCAATAATATAATGGTAAGTAAATTAAGCTTTATACATATTTGTTAAAATATTTCACAGCACCTTCATTAGAAAATAACAAAAATTCGTTTGTTCGTCAGGATTTTTCTCGATTGTTAACAATGTTTTGATAAATGACTGATTCTCAAAATACAGGGATTTTATGCTCGTAACTGTTCTTCTGCACTTTGTTTAATCCTAACTCATCCTACACTTTAATACGTAAAACGTTTTGGCGCGTAAGGTATTAATAGTAATTAAGTTTTATTGTGTCTTAAAGTACTTTGGTACCGCTTTAAGTTCAATTTTATCTGAGAACCAACTTTTCTACGCTTCTAATGCTTATATATGCTACGTTTTTATGTTTTTTAATGACGGGTGTACTGTGATGTAATTTTATCAGGTTGTGTTTACAAAATCAGTGGCATACTGTAACGCCCCCTTCTCAGTTAAACTTTACTTGGAAAATTTATCATAAAAAATATAAAGGTTTTTGTTTAGAAAATATAAATGAAGACTAAAATCCGCCATAAAATTCACCATAAAATGCATCTTTCTACACCGCGCTGTAGAATTGTATTTTTCTGATCAAAGCCGTTTGTGGTTTGCAACTCTCTATTTATTGTGCCTTGCCATCAAGCTGCCCATAACTTTTGTTTCAGAAATTCCCCTTCATGCAAAATTGAGTTGTTGAATTTTTTTTTTTAGGGATTCCGAGAACATATTTTGGCAATATCAATAAATGGTATTATTGTATCGCTGTTTGGTGGTCAGCCATTGGTTATTCTAGGCTTTACTTTGCCTCTGGTTGCATTTGATCACGTTTTGTATCAGTTGTCGGATAAGTTCGATTTGGACTTTTTGCCGTTCCGGATGTGGATTGGAATGTGGACTATTGTTTTCCTGGTGTTATTCCTAGCATTTGGAGTATCTATTTACGTCCGGTATTTCTCACGGTTCATCATAGAAATCTTTCTTCTACTGATTAGCTTCTCTGTAATTTATAATTCCTTAGGCATGCTTTATGAAATCAAAAAGACTCACCCGGTATCAACACCGTATTTCCGGGAGCATAGTTGTGTTTGTGTGCGGTACATCATGGATGCAGCCAACCAAACGAACTTTCCAGGAGGTAGCAAACCGAATTCCACACAAAGTTCTCCCAGTAAAACGCAGTACTTGAACGTTTCTTTTGGAGAGTGCATTTTGCAAGGTGGCACCTTGCTTGGAGGTGGATGCCATACTGGTGTATACTTCTTGTCGTTGCTACTCGCCATTTCCTCGTTCGTACTGGTCAGCATTCTAGCGTACCTCAGAATTTCAGGATTTTTCCCAAGATCGGTAAGAGAAATAGCTTCTTACGTTTGTTACAGAAATTATTTGAGGTTTTGGTGTGATAGGAAATATCTGACGTCGCTTGAAAGCCTATTCGAGATATTGGAGAAAAAGGAAAGCTTAAGGAGAAACCTGGTATTTGAAAATAAAATCATTCTTTGAATTATTTTCCTAAAAGTTTTAAAATAAACATTTATATCAATACACGTGAGCTAAAATTCCCTCTGAACTGAATTTCCCTCTCAACTTGGGTGTAACTTAATTGTAGTTAATAGATTTCTCCATTTTGATTTATAGTTGAGGCGGACTATCGCGGATTGTGCTACTCTGATAACAGTAGTTGTCATGTCTGGCGCTGGTTACAGCTATAGGAACGAGGTTAACATCAGCTTCCTGTATACCCCAGCCTCGTATTCGCCAAGTGAATCGATGAGGTCATCATGGATGGTGACAACGATTGGAGAAAATTCGCTTTGGATTGTTGTTGTTGCTGTTATCCCAGCTGTGCTTTTAACGATGATTTTGTTCTTGGAACAGAATATGGCAACTATGGTTGCAAATAAAAAAGAAAATAGACTTAAGGTAGGTTGAACCTTTATTGATTACTCTTTATTAAGCACGTGATCCTGCGAAAGTTCAAAATGGCGCCGAAAAGTGAAATCATGGCATAGTGTGCTAGAAAAAAATTCCGCCACTCTCGTTTATTTTTTTATCCATAGACCGTAGAAATGTTTCATTGCCTGGTAGCCATGGTTGTTGACTCAATTCAATTCTATTCAAACTCGAGTTTTAAATAATGTAACCTTGAAGACAATAACTTTCATTAACCCAGAAAACGCACGATTATTGAGTCTGGGCTGCTGAAATTTGAATTATTATGTTAATAAAAAGCAAGCTAACACAGAAGACGAAGCAAGGGAAGGAACGAACTCGTATCCATTACCCAAGTTCATCCTACTGAACGTAGATTGCTGCATGGATTTTTTATCTTTTAACTGCATTTCTAGACTTTGTTAATTGTGGAGTGTTATATTGGGGAATTTAAAATTCACGTATTGTTTTTACACAAAATACTCTCGACAATTTGAAGTGTTTGGCTTCCTTGTATTTGAGGCGAAAGCCTTAAGCATCTTCTGGAGGATGACGTGAAAATATCAGCGACATCTGTTGTATTTTGCAATATTGTGTGTCTGAATCATTCATTCATCCTAATTTAGAAATGTTTGTCAATTTTGGCAGAAAAATATGAAAGCATACTGCGTTTTATTTAAGACTATTAAGTAAATTGTTGTGACGTCACTATGTCACGTCCAGATTTATCTCAAAAAGGTTAACTTTATGCATAGTTATGTATTTGATGTTAGACATTGGTTTAATGATAAGAATCTTATAATTCAGTGCTGATAATCGATTATAGAAACCCTATGGTTATCACCTGGACCTTCTTGCTCAAATAATTGGAGTTCTGCTGTCATCAATTTTCGGATTACCATTTACGGTTGGATCAGCGCTGTTAACTGTCAATCATATACAGAGCCTGCATATAGTCTGTGCCGAGTACCAAAGGTCAAAGATCAAAGGTGTAAGGTCAGTCAGGGACTCTTGTTTTAAAAATTAAAGTCTGTAAGTCCCTTCTGTGACAGGATTGTTCATCTGTTCTTATAAATAAAATAGTATTTCCTATTGAATTATCTCCCGTAGATATAAGCTGCAGTTTTATCAACGATTCAAATGTCTGTTTTTTATATAAAGTGTAGGATGCCCATCCATTTTGAGGTGCATTTGCTTTATTCGCTTCAAAACAGTTAGTTTTGCTCACAGTATTACACTAACACGGCCACAGTTATTGAACTTCTCAATGTTTCCCTTTCTTAAAATGTAGAGAAATTTATTTACAGCTGTTGTGGCTCCCGTATCAATTATATTAGCTATGATTTGAAAATATTTCATTACGCAAGGCCTTGAAGCACTGAACATCAATCAGAAAAAGATCTAAGTAATTATTGGTGAGTATTAAGTGTTAAAGTTGAAATAGCAGAAATTCAAAACATTCCCTTCTCGCTTTTATACACTTTTTGCTGTTTTTTCTTTCAGAGAGCAACGATTCACAGCCCTCGCAGTTTATGTACTATTAATATTGACTCCATTGTTCCATTCTGCTCTCAAAGTAAGCTTTTTGTGGTTGTATTTCCAGTCCTTAATTTAGGACCACGCTTTTTGCAGTTTACTCGTCGGTACCACGCGCTAAACTTTTGCAACTTTTGTCTTGCAGTGTATTCCACAGCCAGTATTGCTTGCTATTCTTGCATTTGCTGGCTTCAGGATGATACATAAAATTCAGGTAGGCCTATGTCAGTAAATAGAGATATCTCTCGTCTTTTTGTTTTTGTAACTTTGGCTGCCGTCGGCCGATTACCATCGAATGTTTGTCATTTGTTGTTATGCAAGTTTCATCTGTTGGTCAGCCATTTTAAGCAAATGCTACCACCAAAATACTGGGAAATCTCCTGTTGTTGAAATGTGTTTTGGAAGTATCTTTCACAAATTAACATTTTTGCCATTGGACATTCCGAATCCATTCCCCGGCTGTGGAACTAAACTTGCTCACATTTTTTCTCATCGTATTTTCTCATATCCTGTTCTGCATTCGGAATTCTATTTTTTAAATTGTGAATTCAATCAAAATCCAAATACCTTGAATTGTTAAAAATCGATTAAATGAGTTTCGGCATGGCTGAGATATGGCGGCATGAGCATAGGCTCTTGTGAGGAATGTTTTCGAAGTTTTGGCTTTCTGGCCGGAGGGAGAATCAAATTTTTTCTGCACTGCCTGTCCAGGATTGTTGTGGCAATAAACAACAAATTTTGTAGGGTTTTTGTAAATCTGCTAATACCTAGATTTTTTTCAGTTTATGGACCGGTTGCGGGTAATGCTGATGCCTCCAAAAAACCAGCCTGACATGATTTACCTGAGACAGATTCCAACATTAACTGTTCATTTCTATACGATCATCCAAATCCTGTGTTTCGTGTTCTTGTGTGGATTCCGAATGACGGAGGCCAGCATTGCATTTCCATTCGCCGTGAGTATTGTTTTTACTGTGGATGCTCCTGTTCATTTTCAATCGTATTGCAAGTACCATATTGATATTTAAAAACTAAGGAATATATCATTTGCAATACAACGTTATGATATAATCGGAATGACTGTCTAAAAAATGCACAAGCATGACAGAAATGCTTTATGAAAGATTAATAGAAGTGGTCAAACGCACCTAGCATCTCATGCCTGCCAAAAGTACTTGGAACACCCAGCGATTAACACACTGCATTTGATATCTTTCATTCCTTCATGAAACAAAATTTCTACTTCCGCCCCCTTCCCCCTAAAAAAATGTTGATAATTAGAGAAGTATCATAAAAGGAGCGCAAAAGACTGTGCTTCCTAAAATACTAACCCGTTTGATAGTAAACCAACATTGTTCCTTGAGGGAGAGGGACCCAGTTGAGCATAAGACCCAGACATGATCTTAACAACAACTTTTTTGTTAATTTGTTTTTGCGTAAACATTTGTACCAACAGTTGTCAGCATGAAATTGGACGATGAATCATCGTCACAGGAGTATGGCGGTTTACACTTTTAATTCTAACAGATTTCCAAGTTTTTTATGCAAATTATTTCGTTTACTTTTCTAGGTCATTTTGGTGATGTTATTCCGCATAGCGCTTTCAAAGTTGTTCAGCTCACCTCATTTAGTAATTCTGGATGAACTGCTACCCCCGTCTTCATGGCAGAAAAGCATTATGATGGCAGAGAAACGATTGCTGCAAGACCTTGACAAGGAGGTAGGCGAAGACATCGACACGGATGATGCAAAGGTGAATAATAGCACTCATGATAACTGTTCTTGTGTACAACTGAGACATCCACAGATCAATTCTTTATTCCAGTTATATATCTGGAAATAAACAGGGAAATAGCATGTTCTACTGCAAACTAGAAATATATTCTGATCCCTGTTAACATTTTCCCTTCCAATCCGCCCCGTCCTGTTTTGAAACAGCTATTATTCTATCTCAGTGAAATATCAATGTGAGAAATTACGGTAATATGTTGCCTTTACCTTTTCATTACAACTTTTACAACCACATTAAGGGTTTCACTGCGCTGATTGGCCAGAATGAGCCAATCATGTGCAACCTAATCAGACACACAAACCAGGACACTTTTGGTTTGATTTTATCCGGGTCAGTAATAAGACTTCAACTCTTGATGTCATCAATGTTTTGTACACTACAAAGCTTTACAGAAAATGCGTATTGTTTTCGCATTGAACTTGCTGGCATGGAAGTTGCTATCTTGGATTTTGTGACACGTCAGTTTGCTCGGTTTTATGAAGGTCATAAAGTACAATGTTAAAAAATTTGAAAAGATTTTGTCGCGATGAAGATAATACAGAGTCTCGCACTGCTAGTCTCGCACACTTACCATGGGGCAAGTCAGCACTTACCATTTCGAATAGAGGTATCTGTACTTCAATTAGTTTTACCAAAATAACCTACACAAAACATGCTAAATACCCCTGCTTATTAAATTTTTGAGTATTCCCAAAAACCATTACATTCTGTTTTCTCTCTGCCTCTACATGGGACGTTTCCTTGTCAGTTCGAATGTCGAGGTTAAATGTGACAATGTCACATTGATATATTTTTTACAATTATAGACTTTATTTTTATTCACAACAACTGTTGCTTTCAAACTTTGATTAAAGTGATTAAACATTTTAAGTTCAGCTGGAATGTATCAAAAATTTCGCAGTTTGGGATGCATTTTTTTGAGACTTGAATCAACATGTGACTGAAGACTGAAATCAGGGTTCAGTTTTGTTGTTAAACTTTCCAAACATCCTGGTTTTGGAACATCCCGGCTATTCAATTTCTCTCGTTACTGATTCCCCAGAGTTCTTACTGTGATATGATGCAAACATCGTCCCAATTCAAAATACAAACTTCTAGATACACGCTCAGAATTATTAAAAGCAAGGCTGGACTTTCTTGTTTCCTGCCAGAGCAAGAAAAAAAATTTACCTTCTTGCGATCAGACAAAAGTCTTGCATAAATTTCCTCCGAGAATAGGAGCTACATTTGTTTTGTCTTCATATTTTTCTTTTGATGAACACGAAAGAAACATAGGTACTTCTTGCAAAAGTGCATATTTTAAAAAATTCCTGTAGAACTGTATTCATGAAAAATTTCCTGCGACCGCCCGGTCACATGGTTGGTTGGGTTTTCATATCCTGTTGCCTGCTGTATAGACTGTTGAAAACTCTAAAGTGTAAGTTAGTTAACACAATATGCAATTGAGAAGCAATGCTTAATAAGCGGTTTCACTTCCGTTGATTTTACCATATATTTTGACTCCTATTCGCGGATAAAAGAAAGTTTTGTTATGGTAGAGACTCGAAGTCGCGACAGTTGCGACCTTTTGGATTGTAGTTTCATTGAAAACATGAATTTTCACGAGCTACTGTTCCTTTCTCTAACCAAAAAATAAAACAGGTTTTTGGAAAACTCGTAGAACGTCTATTTGATCTGTACACTTTCAAATCCATTGCCTTTCTTGAAGTTATAAACAGTCCTTGTACGAAAAACTTCTACTTGTGTAATCCAACTGTGTCCAAGATTCAAAATTAATCTTGTTTCATTATTGACAGCTAATAGTTGTCTAATCTGTCCTATGAAAATGGTATTAACATTCTTTAATTTTGATTCGATTTTTCATTGTCATAAGATTGGCATTAGGCCATGAAGTCGATTTATTGCGTTAAAAGCAGACCTGGTTATTCGTTTAGTTATTTGGTTTTAATTCTTACTGTCTCAGGGATTGAATTCAAAATGGATGAGAATTTGTACTGATGATATTAATAGCCGTAGGAATGCATTGACTGGGGATTTTAAATCACGATAGAAGCCTTGAGGCCGAAATATCTTCGGTTTAAGATATCGTTAAAAGTAATTGACAGCATTTCACGTGAAAACATTTTTGAATGTAGGAAAGTGTTTTTCGATGTGTTAAAGCAGGAAATCTGATGTAACAGTCATCAGAAGATGTCTTCGAGACTTCTTTGTCAATGCCATTTAAATAACAGGACGGAATTGCGTTATAGACAACACAAGGCCAGCTATCGTTCGTAGTATGTTATCCTGCATTCTCATTCGGAAAAACAATGTTTTCTTTCTCTATAATTCATATCAGATCATTTGGGTCGTGGTAGTTAAGCATCATACCATAGATCCGAACAGATTCCGCCTAGGATCCGAACAGATTCCGCCTGGATTCCTAGCAGATTCCGCCTAGATTCCTAGCAGATTCCTAAGAGATTGTAAATCTATTTGTGAGAAGTTTGTTGCTAATGTAGAAATCGATTTTCATACCAAAACGTAAGGAAGATTCAATTGTTGTTCTCAACGGGTTAATCAGCTACTCGGACAGAATGAACAAACATCAAGTACCTTGATGGCTTAGTAAAGAAACTGCAGGAAACTAGACAACTAGGTTTCTTATCGATTTTATTAGCATGTGAACTTGTTTCCATTGCAGTCTTTTAATATAACTTTATCTACGCTAATATTTTATTCTAGTAAAATTGTAGATTTTCAGTTAGAAAAAGCAGTCAAGAACCTCAGCCTGCATGCAAAAAGTTATCAAACTTTTAGCAACTTTTAAGCCTAAGGAACTAAAAGCAGAATTTATTGCTGGATGATGAGTTTCGTTGCTTGTTATGATAGCAATAATAATAATAATAATGCACAATTCTCACTGTTTTTTAACTATTATGTCAAGAAACATATAGAATAATTGGAAGCTGTATTGTAGTTGTTTCTGAAGTCTTATTTTTTCAATTTTCCACGCCTTTATTAAACTGCTTAATTCCTTTTTAGTCCGACGAGGTTATCATAGATTTCCGTAACGGTGATTCCTATGGAGTTTCCATCTCGGAGGAGATCGTAAAAATGCCTGTCTGGAAGAAGCTGATCCGAGAGGAGAGTTCTCCTGCGACTTCATTGCAAGATTCGCCAAAGCATAACGACCGAAAGAGAAGACGAAAGTCGCGCAAGAAACAAGACAGGACTCGGTCTTCACCAAAACCGGAAAGCGAAGACGACAAAAATTTACTTGAAGAGTTCGAGATATCTTCGCTTCCTGCACCATGGGATTTACCCTACCAATCACCTCCACGGACAGATTCAAAGTTTTTGACAATAAACGATTATGAAGTTAACGTCGATCCGGCATGTTCAAGGCCCGAATCAAAAAGTGTCACGACCGAGTCCGAAACGAACAAATCCGACGGGGTTTATAGTTAATATTAGATAGTTTATAAGACCTATTATAAATTGTTGTTTAGAAATTGTCCGCTTTAAATAGAGCTTATGCTATTCCAATACGGCAACACAACCGTAAATGGCGTTAGACTGAGCACGAATATTCATCCAACACGCATGATAAAGAATTTAGAAATTTTGCGCTCGCGAATTGGATGCACGTTTCCTTTTACGAAGGCAAATTGCAAATAACCACATGGCAGATAACCATTTAGAGGTTTATCTAAGCCGTATTGGCTTTTAGTTTGCTTCTTAGTTTCGCCTGTATCAGGGGCGGCGAAAGAAATCGATGACAACTGGCTGTACAATTCCATATACTGACATATATACTGCTAAAAATATGATAGACAGCTGTCAATTACTCGTCAGCCAATCAGAATAACCATCTGGAACGGGAAGACCCAGAGATTCCTAATATAAGCTAGGACGCACCAGTGTCTCCTCAAATGGCGATTTCTACTTCACTGCCACTAATGCAGGTCGTTTATAGTAATGCTTTGCTCCTTGCTTTTTAGGTCTTTGTATTTCAAGCTTTTTATGTTTCAACCCTTTGAACGATGCACGGGTTTCTTGAACAACTAAAGTGATGCTATCTCGCTTAAAGTAGTTGCTAAAAGTTGCTTAGAATTTCCAGCCCAAGAAAAGTTCGATAGAGTCACTTACACAGCATGATTAAAAAAAGGTGTAACACCGATTTAGTTAAATATCTCTAAAAGGATTTGATCAAGCATGCCTTGCAATATTTTTAATACAATTATCTTCGATTTGTTAATAATCAAAATATTGTTATGAATTCGGGCAAATATATCTTGATATCCAGCAACAAAACTGCACATATTTAAGAAAGCAAGAACTGTCATTTAAGAAATGCTGGTAGACCGAAGTGCATTTTGGGTAACAATGCATTTTGGGTTGCATTTACAGCATTATTAGCAGGTAGAAATAGAACTCTTGATAGCGACTTGTGCGATGCACTTATTGTTATGTTGGTAGATGACGCTGAATTGTTTTCCGTTAAAAACATTTTAATAGTAAACTATCAGTCGGTCTTGTTTAAAATAACCTTGTCAGGTGGAATTTTATATCTTGTTTCAGTTGGTGCATGTGATAGAAAATGAAAAACAATGGTTTACCGTATTTGAAAAGCTACGGCGTAAACCATTGCTAGAATTTGTGATCAGGTGTCGTGAACCATCAGAATAGCTTTGCCTTGCTGTTCTTCTGTTGTTTATAAAATTATGTTACCCAGGGATTCTGTTACGCAAAAACGTGCACCATGTACAAATTACAGTGAATAACCTTCTTTCTCGGCTTAGTTTTTTCGTAGTCTTGCTCTTTGTTCATATTTCTACGCACAACACTGTTATTGGTTCTTGCATGTATAATGGTTGCTTTTGTTAATAAAATGTTATTAATTGCAATCTTGTATCATCAAATAGCTTTAGATTCCCTGTAAATGCCTCTAAATGTTCTTTTGATCCGGTGTGCCAACTTTTTGCCTGATCTACCACCCACCCCATCATAGTAGAATTTTTTTCAAGAGAAGGAGGTTAGGTGCTTCTTCTGTTTTTAGCAGCCATTGATATTTGACATGGTCACCCTGAAGTGCATCGAATTGATAAAGCAATGAAAATATGATGTTAGTTCGTGGTGACCCTTAGCACAACAGAGTGCTGCTTGGCTTATATAACACTGGCTCCAATGTTACACCAAGTCATACCTACCACAGACCAGTCCACGCCAGACCATTTTAGACTAGATCACCCTAGACCAGTCTATAGCAGACCAGTCTATAGCAGACCACCTCGGACTAGACCCTCTCATCTAATCTGGGCTGACCTGACCAGACCAGACCTGACCAGACCAGACCTGACCAGACCAGACCTGACCAGACCAGACCTGACCCGAGGGATCTTTCTGTGCTGCGATCCAGGAACATTTTTCAAATAGGCTTGTTTGGTACTCCATTCCTGTCGCATTATAGACTCATTTTCAAGTTGAAAAGTAAAGTTGCTACGTTCTTAGGTGTAATCGTGTTTTCTCCAATTTTAGAATTTGTAGTTAATTTTATCGTTAGAAATAAGATCGGTATTTGAATGGAGGGATAGCCCTTCGTCTTATTACTTCACATTTATATTAATTGGTACTTTTATTTAAAGTGTTATGTGGCTTGATGATCACTTGTTTTTGCCTATCCCTGCCTTTGTTGTTGCTCTTCGCTATTACTAATATTCGAAGATTCGTTTATAAACTATAGTATAGTACACTACAGTATAGTATATTATAGTATAGAATAGAATAGTATAGTATAGTATAGTATAGTATAGTATAGTATAGTATAGTATAGTATAGTATAGTATAGTATAGTATAGTATAATACAGTACAGTACAGTACAGTACAGTACAGTACAGTGCAGTACAGTATAGTATAGTATAGTATAATATAGTATAGCATAGTATAGTATAGTATAGTATAGTATAGTATGGTATGGTATGGTATAGTATGGTGTAGTATGGTATAGTATGGTATAGTATGGTATGGTATGGTAGGAGTTCCTTTATAAAGAAATAGATTTCAAATGAAAGTTGCTGATCTCGACCAAAATTTTTCTAATGTCTGGCATAACCAATGGCAGAATAATAGTATCTGGCTTAATTTAATGTGACACCCTCTTTCTTCTAACGAACCCCCCCCCCCCCTGCGTTTATTGAAATTCGAACAAATTTTATTCAATTTTTTATACAGGGAGGCTTCTTTACTAAAAAGCGAAATATTATTTCCGGAGAGGATTTGCAGGTAAACCAGTTGCTTTCTTAGTTAAAACGATATCAACGATATCTATATTTTCAAAACTTCCACAGGTTATAGAACAATTTTGTTTTTAAGTCGATTGAATTTCTAACATCCATCGTGCTAAACAAACTGAGAGACGTACGTATTCCGTACTATTGAAGGTTGCAGCGAAATAGTAAACTGACGAAGGACCCATCGTTCTAGATCTTTACCGGTCACGAACCTATGAAGTCAATTACAACGACAATAAAAATATGCAGAAAAGAAAAGATTCTGGCACTTTTGCATGAAATATGAATTACAGAAAGAGCAATGTAAAAAGACTTTATTTAGATGCTAAATGGTGGCGTAAAAATGAACTGTTTTATATATGCTTAGAAGTGCGATTTAACTTCATGATTTTGCGACAAGCAGTTCATTGGGGGAAGCTCAGTATGTTGAAATTTTAAAGAGAAGGTTCTTCCAGATGATGCTTCTGTGTGTCAACTCTTTCATTTTGACGGTTAGATTCATTTCAATTATTGCAAAAAGTATCAAATCTGGCTTCTTGTAAATTGAAGTATATGACAGTTGGCCAATTGTATATGTCAATTGGCCCGAAAGATGTTTTACCATTGTGACAATGGAGACAAATGATAAATGGACTTTGCCGTTTTGAGAAACCAGAATGGCCAACCCGTCTGTTTATCTTCGCTTCCCAGTCCCAAGTGGCAGTACAAGGGTTTCAGATCCTAAATTGTATTGTTTATCGAACAATACGATAACGTTGATTGGATACCTGACATATTGTATTTAGAAGTTACTTTAACGGTAGGAATTTCGTAAAAATAAACCTTGCGTGAATTGTGAGGTATTTTGATTCAAAAATGAATACCTGTGGACTTTGACGCTTTGGTCCTGCTCGACTTTCGCGGTTTTCGAAGCATCTTCAAACCAGTTCCTGTTCATGAACAAATGTACCCATAACAAACAAAAGAAGGCAACGGGCAAGACTGGAATGGAGTTAGGCCAGCTGTTCAGTGGTATGTTCAAGTTTGTAAAAACGTTAGCTTTACTGTGGCAGATTTATTAATTGATAATTAATTTGTGCATAGACAGCTACTTGAGCTAAAACCAAAATATTTCTGCAGCATGCTAAATACGTTTGTGAAACTTTCGACAACCATGTTGCTTTTAATGTTTATCCTAATTTTCTTCTATATTCTTTCCTCTTTACTGCTGGTCCAAATCTGAGGACCAACCACAGGACACAAATACGTGTACCATAATAGCAGTCGACAACTACGCAAATTACCCCATGCTGCTAAAATACTTATTTCATCTTTTGTTTAACCAGTTTAAAAACTTTTCCACTACTAACATACTAATCCTTGCACGTAATACATAAGTGTAGGTTAAAATACAGGAATACTGGATACATATGTTCTCTTGGGTTCGTTTATCGTCAATTTCACCAGCAACTTCAATCACACTTTAGGCCAGAAAGAAACTGAATATCCACAAACTAAACCGATGTTTCAGATAAAAATTTTATATTTCTCTTTTAATATCTACAATCTATTTTCTCAACTTAAATACGTTCTTCACCTAATTATGAAAATACAAATAAAAATGATAAAATCTATAACCTAGTCGATTTTATGGTTCTACACGATTAATTAACAAGTTTTCTTACCAACAATTACCGTCATTTTTGACAAAAATGGATTTGAACATATCTCATTTACCTAGTAGCTTCGCTGTGGTAAAAAAAGGAAAATCTTTCAGAAAATTTCCAGTGCATTTTATTTTCTACCATTTTATGGCCACATTTTTCATCCAAATTGAATCTTTATCTCCATGGTACGATCGACCATACCCATTTCAAAATTATTAATTCTTAGGTTGGAAATTTCTAGATGTCTTGTAGTTGATAAATTTTGCAGTAAAATGTAAGGTTATGGTTAAATGTAAAGTTGTGTGTTTCAGCATCTTCTAGGGATACTCTTGAAGAAAACTTTCCCTACGCTTTGTTGCTTTGCAAGCTGAAAATGACATCCGAGACAAGACCTTCGTTTTGCGCATCTCACACACATTGGTAGCGAACTTCGAGTTTTCTGCTGGAGCCTGGGCATGACCTTCTGAATTGAGCCATATTAGGAATAATGCAAGATGGCTTCCCGTTACATAATGCAAACACGACACAATACATTTGACATCTTCCACTCTCACCATACTTTGCATGAATGATTGACAGCTTCTTTTCCATCGGGCAAGAAGGGATTGTCAAAATTTTTCCCCCGTCTATTGAAGCTGTCTGAATTGGTGCATCTATAAAAATTCAAAGATTGAATGTTAGGCTCATGTGCAATAGACTGGTGGGGGGGGGGGGAGGCTCAAAGTGAAGAAATCGGAAGATGAACAACGAGCAATGTGTATCAAACTTTAGTCAAACTTCATGAAATTGTGCAGGATTTTTTTTATGTGTTGCTTTGTTTGTATTTTTTGACTTATAAGTGTCAGGAGTTTCACCTACTTTGAAGAGCACTGGCGGCTGGATTCATTGGGTCTCCATCCAATTGGGTGCTTATTCGAGTCATACTCAAATAATTTCGAAACATCTAAACTGGTTGCAGCACATTACCCTCAATACTCTATTTTGCTGTATAAAACCCATCTCCTCCGCAATGCCCTCTTTGGTGTCTGCAGCTTATCAAAATATCTAAATGTTATACTAGACATGTTGGGTCATTATCGGCATAATCTGCTTTTGGTCATTTCCGTAATTCCATTAGCTAATCAATCTGGTAAGTCCAAAACAACCAAGGTAAAGCTATCACAAATCTTCGTTCATGCCTTTGAGGTTAAGAGAGTCAAGCCTCTTTCAGACTCGCGATATCTTTTTGCTTTAGTTCTCGATCTCTAATAAGCTATCAAATATTATTAATCAAATTAAACATCCTACTTATTCCTAAAACCCACAGAAATGTGTACCAGGGTTTTATCATCACAAAAAGCCAGGCAGCCTAGAGCCAACCACATAATATATACCTGATCTATACACCAAAGCGTTCAAAGACCTTCCTATACAGGATCGAGCACAATATGACAAACCAGTAAACAAAAACTCAGAAGACACTTAATCTAACCAATCCCTTTCTACCCTTGCCTCCGTACAACCACACATCAGATCTAAATAGAAAGATCTAAAAGCAGTAAAGACAGGGAATGAAGCTGCACCCAAATATCTCCATTTTCACGAGCAACCCCAATGTCACGGTCTGTGGCATCGTGCGCTATACTTCCCATATACTTTGTTCATATGCTATATGCTATCCAGTTCTTCCCAAAATTAATTCTAAATTACAAAAAAGTTACGTGTAAGTGAGTTATTCTTCACAAAACATCTTCTGACAAAAGGCTACTATTTGTCAATTCATATTTTGCTATGTCTATTACAAACTGCCCACTGGCGAGATATAAACATGCCTACCTGGCCTCCTTATACATTCATACTGTAGCAGCAGCCTCGCTTTGGGTGATGTGCATGGACTATCAAGCCTATTTTGGTCAGCAATGATATCGCATGACTTATTACCATTACACAGCTGCGACAGTACACAGTGTGCGTGGGGTGTTCTGCACTTGCCTTCCCCGAACGCTGCCTTCAAGATCCTTATTTCACGTCTCTTCTTGCAAGACATTTGCAATCGACCATTTCTTTGGGCTGAAAGGCTGCGAACACCACCTAAAAATCAAGACGCAATCATGTAGTTCACGGATACTATTTCTCAGTGATTGTTTTTCTGAGAAGTTAGAAACGCTGAATCATACAAAATATACGTGATTTGCATTGTAACTTTAAAGCAAATGTTACAATTTATAAGTGAATACATTATAAAGCATGGAAATCTGGGAAATAAATATTGAAAATGGCTTTGAATAAGCAAACATTTTGTATCATATTAAAATATTTGCTTTTTGCAAAGCCATTTTCAAGTTCTGTACACCCGAAATAAATATTGTAATTAGATTGGCATTAATAATTTTCCAACCTTTCATTGTAGTTGATGCTAGGATGGGCCTAAGAGCTTCACTTTCAGGATATAATAAGGGAAACGAAGCCAAAGAATTGAAGTGATGTTTCCTAAGCTACAACTTTAGGTTAGTAATATTTGCATATTGGGTAAAGCACTTGTTAACTATTAGTACCTTGATACGCCTAGTAATCCTAATGGATGAGAGATGGCTTCAACAGACAGGTCAACAAAAATGTCAAGAATTTTTATAAATGCCTGTTTCTTTAACAAAATTTCATCTTTCCTATTTATATTTTCACTCACCTTTCGTGCACTTGAACTTGATCTTAGACCGGCCTACTTTTCCATGGCAATGTCCTTTAAGGGTGATATCATTCAAAATAAACGAGCAAGTGTCTTTTCCATTGCAAATTGACGTAAGGATGTTCCTTGTACTGCGGCCTTTGCAAAGTGATCCTCCGGAGTGCCTAACTTTCCGTATATGAACAGTGGTGCCTTTCGCAGTACATTTAATTATCACGTGCTGACCCTCTTCTCCGTCTACGGAGCCATCTGAAATTCAAAAGCAGCAGAGTGAAACAGGGCCCACGCCACTGGGGGCCGGAGGGGCTATGCACCCCCCCCTCCAATTTTTGGTAAACTAAAATATTTCCAAAGAGGCCATTTTAGTTTTTGGAAAACTCAAATGTTTTGAAGCACTTAATTTAAGTTAGATTTATAGAACTCGGCAACCCGGGCTTTGGGCCAAATGAATGAATTTTACTTAGAATAATGTTAGTTATTGAATTTTACATGCATAATACAGAGAAATTACAACGTTTTTGGCATTCAAATCAACGTTCAAAATGGAAGCGCTGGGTGATTTGCTTTTCTTTTCTTTTTAAGCAGAACAGACATTGGAATGAGTTATGACTTTTCAAGCCTTGATCACGTGAAAATATTCGTGACATTGACCTTATGATATGCGCATGCGCTTTAACCCACAAAGGGGGTACCTTATTCAGTAGGAAACCTTCTCTCTTTCTTCTCCCCAACAGTATATTTTCGCCTATGTTGATAAATTTCGAGCCTGTTTCCGATAACTTAGATCTCATTTACGACTTATAAGATGGAATTTCAAACATTTAATTCTCGTTTTCAGACTTTTGTTTGCCAAAAGTCTATTCACGCTGTTCATGATACAGTTTTACAAAAAGTTTTGATCGATCAGTTGATTATTTCGTGTGATTAGTTGATTATTTCGAATACTGATCAATGATAGTCTTACCTTTACCGGTGACTGTCGTTGGCTTGGTCTTATCTAGAAACAATCAAATTTCGTTAAGAATTTTGGGTTGAAAAGACAAATTAAACTCTTTGTACCATGTCACCTAAAATAATATTTTTACCAAGTTAAAGGCAATCAACATATACAAAAGAAATCAAACTATCTATCAATCAATATTAGCTAATCAATGAGCATGTGAGTGGAATCATAGTCACTGATTGGTCAATTTTTGATTGAAAGATCATTTATGCTCCTTTCGATTGCTATTAATAACAAGCAGCAGAAAATGTAAATGGCTTAAAATTCATGTTAAAATGGTTTTCCCTTGGCATTCAAGAGAGATATTTTTCAAAATCAATCAATCAATTTGAAAAAACTTAGTCTTAATCATTTCTAACTTCACATGTTCTGTCGTGGTTAACAGCATATTATGGACATACGACTACTGATAAAAAAGACTAAAAAAATACTCTTTGGGAAACCAATTATAAATTTTTAATGTCCTTTTTTCAAAGTCAACTTACTGTGTGTGAATAAAGGAGAAATCAAAAATCGATAAAATGGTAGTAAACAAGGAACACCGTAACGCGACGAGAATGAAGAACAACAAACACACAAATCAGTTATGGCTAATATTTTAACCCGGAAAACGGGGCTTCATCAGAGCAAAAAAGCCTGTCCCTAGGCTTGTTTGCACTTGCAATTGATTGGAAATCTATACGCTAATTGGCGCTTAGTCAAATCTTAAACACTCTTCCTTTCAATATGGTTCATAGACACGATGGAACAAACGATGGCAGGCACCCTTTTTACAAGTCTCAACTCAAATTACTCAACCTTCCTTTTAGTAATCAACGTATTTATCATCTTGAGCCAAACTATTACCTATCCTCCCCTCTTCCGTACGTATTTCGTATAACAGAAACAAAAACCAACTGTCCTAGTAATCTCGAAGTATATTTGCCAGTGGCGTCGCCAGGGGCGTCCACCCCAGTTTTCCCAGAAGTCCATCTTTTAATTTTTCGAAATCCATTTAAAAATCTTTCGGGGGGGGGGGGTAGTTGAGTTGGGCTGATCAGATCGATTTCGATTTTCGCTGATTATTACGAAACCACCACCATTATTACGAAAAATGCTGCTTGATGAAATTGCTTGTCCAAATATTTAAAAATAGGTAAAAAAACTAAAAAAAGGAATTTCCTTGGAGAGTCTGAAGGGCGTGGCCGAGAAAAATTGTTTTTGTCCATCCCAGTTTTTTCAAGCTGGCGACGCCATTGATCTTTGCTTGCATATTGGCGGTTAAACTTGAGTAAAGGGAGGGGCTGATCTTCTTACCATTCTCTTCTGTTAGAAAAAGCGACAGGCTATAGGCTATATCTTTCCGAGAGCTCCTTTTCCGCTGTCGTAATACCAATTCACCACTATTTACTCATACAGTTCGCAATGGTCACAGCCAATGAATAGTTCCCTTTGTCCTGATATAAGAAGATCTAACGTAATACCGTCATTACAGTGATTATATGTGGGATGTACTTTCATGGAAAGAATTCTAGATGAATTTTACAGAGGCTAATCCTGGCTGATAACTTTTTCCTTTATCTTGGAGACGGAATTGAAGAGAAAATGCAGTAAACAGAGAAATGATTATCGTCCAGGCTAGAATTTCAAATCCAGAAACGCGGGTTTAAACCCAGATCAAAACGCTCTAAATTCCACAAGCCATCCCAGGTATCATCAATACGCTCAGCACTCTAACGAGAGCCAAAGACTTATGCATATATCATTTCAAATCCTTCACTCTACCCCCCCCCCCACCACCACTCTACCCCTACTTATATTTTACATTTCCCAGTTTTATGTTCCTTAACCTGTAGTGTTGTGCTGACATGAGAAAGACCATTAGAGAAGAACCCCTAAAATTCTATATAAAAGTAAGGGAAAGGCCTTCTATAACGCTCTCTGGCTCTTCCTGCCCATTGTATCTTGCTGCCCATTGTAGATAGGTATATGTTACCTAGAGGTTGCCTTTACCAGGCTTTGTCCGCATGTTCCCAGGTGTCCGTTTATAGGGAGCTATCCGCTATCGAGAGGTGTCCGAGAGCAATAACAACTGATGTCCCTTCACTGGTTCTAATATTAATGAAGAACAAGTTCAATATGGAAAAGTATTTTTTGGCGGCTCAATAAATGTATTTTAAGAGGAGGGAAACGAATCTATAGTGTAACTTATGTTCTTTTACGTTGGGAGGAACAAACGGTGAATTTTAAAATGACGTCACAAGCGCACTGAATGAATGGACTTTTATAAAAGTAAGGTAACTATTTGGTAACTGCTCAGCTATGTCTGTTAATGTTGCAAATAAACAAATAATGTTACCAATTGAAAAAGTGTCTTTTATGCGACGTTTCTTAAAGCCAATATCTCATATTTCCGATCAGAAATCCTTCACAAACATTTATTCAATTCATACATATATAATGCTTGCAATTGCTAGTGATGAATGAGATGAACGCTTTTCATTTGCTCCTCAAATAGGCTCGTGTTAAATGAACGGCGATGTCTATTTTAAGATTTTGAAAGCTAAAATTTTCTGAGAAGGTGCCAGTTTGAAGCAGGCGGCACTTTTGCTGATTTGTAGGACAAAAAATTCCCTCTCTCTCTCTTTATGATATAATTTAAAAAAGCTTTATGAAATGCCTTTAGATATGCAAAGTCAGTTAAATTTGTTACAAATTGGCTGAGATATGGCCACATAAGCAAAGGCTCTTCCCCAATCAAACTTCTGTAATTCGGTCTCAGTTCATAACTTCATGAACCAGGACAAAATAATAGTAATCCGTTATCCAACTTCCAATCTTTCATTGACCACATCTTTCGCAATTTTTGAAAACGTTAACTGGTTTTTCAATATTAAAAAATATAGTGCTGGTTTAGGTGATCAAATTCAAAATTCTAAAAACAGACTTTTTCATGATGTCAAACCTAACAACTCTATTACGACGATATATGCCAAATTATTATTATGATCATGATAATTCATGCAGACGATAAAAATAAATGCAATTACTATAAGGGATTTTGAGGATAACAATTATTGCTAATAATGATAATTCATGCAGCTTGTTATAATCATTGCTGATTTTTGGCAAAAATCAATCCTTTTTATGACTATATGCTAATGTGGATAGTTTAAACTGATGCAAAAGCTTATAACTGTTTATATCTGCTCACAAAATAATTATGTTTAGAAATATGATTGTTGCTGATATTTTACAATAAAATGATAATATTTTACGATATGTTTTGCTCGAAAGCGCAGTTTCCATATAACTAATATAATATTAGGACCACGGATAAAAACATGAGTTTCATGTACATTTTTTCCTTGACCCTTAAAGAGTCGATACTTTTATACCCTAGGTCCAAGACTATAGATTTGAAACGCCAGTTTTGAAGCTCAGAGTAAAATCGTTATAGAAAATTAAAGCCGCCTTTAGCAAGTGACAAATCTTGATCATGTCACTTTTGGCAACTTCACCGATGCAGCCTTTCATGCCACTTTTATTTCTTTCAACAATCATCGTGTATTTGAATTGAAATTCACCTCATCATTTCATCATACCAATAACAGAATTTTAACAAACAATGAAATCATTAATTTTAATTGAAATTAACGACAAATACAGTTAAAGAAAAATATATCATGCATCTTTTGAAATTAAGATGAATTGTTAAAAGACGAAAATAGTAAACCAAAGTACTTGAGCATATACCACAAATCGTGAATTTGATTCCACAAACTCAAAGCTTGTATTTTTTATTGTTTACTTCAGTTATAACTTGCCAAGTTTAATTAAAGCTTATAGTCTCAAAATATAGCGATAGAACGTCTTTCAGAAACGTGCATAAAATAGAATCATACAAAACAAAGACAATTAGAAATTATTAAGTTCATTTATGTAACCAAAGTTTTACCGATACCAATAACAAAGGGAAGTGGTTATTTTCACTGGTGGTCTTAAATAAGGGGAAGAAAAGGTTTTTACCACAATTTGTGATCGGAGTTGTTAAAAATCCGTGAAATTTAGACATACCAAATCAATTCATGTGTAATATTAACAATTAATCAAGCATGAAAAGCAGAAGCTTGTAAGCGAGGAACGATTACCAAGAATTTGAGTACACCGATGCATAAAACGGTGGAAATTGGAACCAATGGTTAGACGAGAAACGCCGAATACGAGGCGGTCTTTTCAGGCCTTGTTCAACATTTTTCAAGAAACCAACTTCAGTTTTCGTAGAACGTGCAAAGACCTCCTTTATTCAGAAGCTGCAGAAAATATTACATTTTCTAGAAAAATGCAAGAAACATTTTCTTTCTCTTTTGAGACTGGTCTGTGTGCTTAAAAATGCAGATATACTGAGATAAATCTTTTGCAGTCAAGGCAATAACCCAACTCATGGGGTTAAAACTCTAGGGTGGGGGCTTATTCAAGGTGGGGGGCTAATTCGTAGTTTGGAGCTTTTTCGAGGACATTCGGTAACATTCGTCTGGACTTTGTTGTGGGCTTAATAAACTTTTGGACCCCTGGACTCATTATATATTCAAGTGGACCTTTAATCGAGATGTTTGCTTGGTAAAATCTGCTTCTTGCAAGAACCTTTTAGCTTTGTTTTCATTGACATTTGAATTAGATCCCTTTGGAAAGACATATTTTGAAAACAGTATGAGCTTTAAAGCAATGTATACTGTAAATATTTGTGTTTTTAACGGCTGTTTATTTTACCACTGAACTCTATATACTTTGATGTCAATGTCTTTTATCTGAGGAACGCGCTCATGAGCAGGGGCGCTTAATTGAGGACTTACAGTAGCTACTGGCCCTTTAAGTGTCATTAGTTTATACCCCGTCTACTGAATATAAAAGGTGAGTAATTTTGCTAAAAACGCTCGCTTCTTCTCTTTTTTTCTCCCCTTTTTCTGCTGCATATTCAGGGAGAGGAACTGAAAAGTAGAGGAAGGGAGGGGGCCTAAATTGCATGCAAAAGATTTTGTCAATGTTGCTTGATTTTCGAATCTTCTTTGGCATAGGATATCACCGGTAAAACCTTAGATGCTCATACTAACTTGGTAATTCAGAGACGTAAATTGGCCAATAGGTTTGAGGTGGGAAGAGTTTTTGCCCTGCAAAACTGAGTGCTGGCCTGCAGGCCGCGAAGCAAAGGTTTCTATAAAGGTTACTAGTGAGAGTTATATCGGTGTACATTTGTCTATACCAAGGACAAACTTCTAAGCAATATTAACGAACTTGAAACTTTATAACCTATGAAGTATCTATTTCTCTACGTGAGCGTAAATTAAATGTCAAATTTGGTTTTCCTTTGTAATAAGGCTTCTATCTCGTTGCATATGATTTTTGGGCGCATTATATGGGCGGAGCAATGAAATTGAGCCCGGGCGGCTAACAATAAAGTTTAATGAGGCAGGAGGACCCACCATGGCTGGGTCCGACGTGAAAGAAAATTTTTGAAATTCTATCTATCTAGACTAAAATTAAGCAAAATGCTATACTGCTAAAAAAACTGATTATTGTTTATTTCGAAAAATAGGGAGGGGGATGTCATACCAAAACTCTAGTGATAGACGTTGGGGAAGGTTCATACCAAATATGATATTTCCATTTCAAAATTTCTAAACGGCCCTTTACGAACTTCCGAGGTGGCGTTTTTTGCACGGCAATAAAGCTCTTCTTGGCGCCCTGCGAAATCGGCTACCTTTTAGAGGGGGTGTCACACCCCCACACCCCCGGTATTTTCGCCCCTGCTTGGTATTTGCATGAAATTTTGTAACTTCTCTTTGAAATCGATGCTGAACTAAGAAAGGTTTGATGGCGTTGGTCCTGTTGCGGTTCGCCTCCATAGCAGCCTATGGACTTAACACTTATCCCCCTCAATATAAAATATGCTTCGCGGTGCAAACTCAAAAGACATATTACTTGGTTAAATCATTTAAATAATGTTACTAACCAACGTTTCACCACAAACGACGCCTACTAGTAACACTCCAAATACCCAAGATATCCCTTCAAACATCAGAAAGACTTAACCTGCCAACTTCAATTAAAGTTGGCTCAACACTGACCAGAAAGTGACTGCTTTCAAGGAAATGCTGATTACCGTAAAGCTTCATACACATTCTGGTCTTAAATATTCTAATCCAATCAAAGAACTTAAGGAGTATTTGTCCTTTTCGCGGATTTGTCTGCAACCGAAGTCGATTTCTTTTTTCCGTGCGTCCTTCCAAAGCACACCGCGCGGTAGATAAAAAACTTCGCGCGGCTTTTAGGAAAGACAGTGGTTGGTGTATCTTTGCTAAATATTCTCATATGTAAATCCATTTGATTTGAGAAAGGGCATAGATGTTTGTGATAGATTCGTAAAGCATGATTGTATGAATTTTATGGGCAGAAATGTTGCCAGACTATTTACGTTAATCAAGGCTGCTACTGGAAAGGCTATTAAACGAGAAATTAAAAGATAGGTAGCTTCTGCTGTTTCTAAGCAAAAAAGTGAGTGGTTGTGATAATTGCTTTGAGTGTGCAGTTTTGTGTAGGTATAGCCTGTTTGGCTGTTTAGTCCCGTAGCTTCGAAACCCTTTCCATTTGTTTCAGCTATTGCGATACCTTTTGGAGTGTGTTAAAGTGTCTCGATAACCACAATGAAATATGAGTTAGATTAAAACCTGTACTATGGAATTGCGAACACCGGCTGTAGTTCATATTAGAGACATACAGATTTTGTTCTTTACTCTTCCCTGGTCGCCGCACATATGGACCCTGTGCCTTTTTGGTGAAGAGAGGTACGAAAATCCTAGGGGTTGTGGGGGTAGGAGAATGTCACACCTCCAATCTTTTAATACTTTGAATTAGTCCGAAAATTTATTAGTAATCAGAAAATCCTAGTCGTAATTGCAATGCTTTTTTATAACAGAGAACGATATTACGTAATTTTAATGCCAAGAAATCTCCCAATTCTGAAGGGAATGACCGAACCGTTTAATATCAAGACTCTGTGATTGGATGTTTAGTGCAATTTAGTACAAAATTACAGTTTGAATTATTTTCAGTCGGAAATTTTGCATCCTTCATCCCCCATAGATATCTGTCAATTCTCTGGACATAGCATTTCGAGTAAAGATTTTTGAGGTAATTCAGTAGCAATCGTTATATCAAGATGCTTCACTCTTATGGTGCCTAAATGCCAGATAATATCAATTGCGAGCATCAACTACTGTATGACATTTGCAATAAATTGACTCTTGAACACAACCATCAGTTACCAGATACCCCAAATTGTCTTCTCGTGACTGATATGTGGTTAACGTCTAAATTTATATCGAAGCCTAAATTCTTCCTTGATTGTAAGATAAAGTTTCAGCTATGTGGCATAAAAGAACTGTTCTCTCAGAGACCAAAAAATGCTTAAGTCTTTCTGGTGTAGTTTTTCAAACATTTTCAGTATCCAATGTTATGGGTGTCCATAGAACTTCAATCAAATTCTTGCCAAGAAAGCTGCATTTCACAGCACTTGACTTTGGAAGTTAAAACTTTTTGCTTCCAGTTTTATGGAACTGCTAACATGAGAAGATAATAATCTACAATCCAGGATAAAAATGTTAAGACAAAATGCAATTTTTTTAATTTTCTTCTATACCTTGCCCCTATAAATTCGAATCCCCCCTTTCCACCGAATCGATGTTGGATTTTTAGTTCTATACTTTCTTCTTCAAAATTATGCATTCAACATTGAATTGGAGGAGGGGAAAAGTTATTTTTCAAATGAAAGAGAAAATATCGACTTTCATTGAATAGTCGCAACTTTTTTTGTTCAGGATTGTAGCTGAAATATACTGATTGAAAATATTTGTTGGCAGGGCGGGAAAAGCCGCTGTACCGCATCTGATATCGAAAGATGCGGTAAATGCAACTAACGAAAGATGCGGGAAATATAAACACGAACATAGAGTTTTCGATCCATATTCTGACGTTTTATACTCTGAAGTGTGTCAGACGAAAAGCTCTAATATGGCTCAAAATGTTTGCCTTTTTTAAAACCAATTGTTGAGTTTTGTACCACCAAAGGATTGTTTGCTAATGCCATTAACGTTTTCAAGAGCTTGGGCTTGTCGTACTACAACTCAAGTTATAGCCAATCGACCAAATGTCACTCAAATACCTACATTGACTTAATAAACCGAACATGCAAAAGTATCAAGTTCAGCTCCTCTTACAGCCAAAATTCAAGTACAGCTACAAAGTTGCCAGCAACGCACAGTGTAAATAAGATAGATGTGAAATTTAAATACATCTGAAATCGTTTTTCCATTTATTTTATGCCTTCACGATACATTCCTTTCAAGATAGTATTTGGTGATAAAAGTTCCTTGACCTCTTTAAGCTCCTTCTCGAGCAAGTTCTTTGATCACAGTATACCCCTTTTTATCCTGAATCGTTAGGAATTAGTTTGAATATTGAATTATCTGGTTATCAAATCAAATTACTACTTAAATGTCGATAGAATTCTTTACTACCAAATTTATTAAATATGGGCTTAAAGATAACAGGTTTCTCTCCTCGAAAGACAGATGCTTTGATTTTTGACCCCATATCCCTACCCCCGCTTTCGCTTCTAGATACACTGATTTGATCGTTATTTGCACACGTCAAAGTCTTGTATCAATGAATATAAACTTTTCAAATCATTTTCCAACTGTACGTTAATCGAGATTTCAAGTGATATACAAAGAGATTTCTCTCAATAATTACGTCTGATTGGCTTCAATTAGAAGGACTTTACCTTCAGCGGCGAAATCTAAAATTGCTTTTGGAGTAAGTTTAAACTTACAACTACTTTCCGAAAATGCTGTCTAGCTGTTATTCTAGAAAGAACTGTGCGTTGGTTGTACTTTGTTTATAAAAAAATGGATTATAAGTACAGACCTTCTATCTGCCCGCCCTTCTCAGCTTGCGGATTGCCAACACAAATGTCATCTTTTGAACGTGGAAATCTCGAACAGTAAAACTGCTCAGGCCATTGAAAGCCATATCTGTTAAGCAGCGTTTCACAGCCCGCACGAACCTGCTCACACAAGTAGCGGCAGGGCGGCAAGGGCTTATTGAGTACAGTACATACTGGTACGAACAAGACGCACAGAAAGAAGCGGAGGTGCGGCGAGCATTCACTTTGAACTAGCAAATCGTATTGTCGTAGGTCACTCTCCGCGTCATCCTGTCTCTGGTGCATCAATAGATTGGGATATAATGTATAGTTGTAATTAAAGTCAGCACAACGAGATACTTTTACCAGCTGGCAGTTGTCGCGGTCGTTGAACCGCGCGGCGTGAGTCACACTTACTAGTGCCACGAAGAAGATGGCCAGAATCATCGCACCCGTTTGAGTTAAAACCGAACTGCCTTTGTTCTGAATCCAGGAACCCAACATAACCTGTTGTTGCAATCTTCTTAACCAAACCACTGCACCATGGATTGGTTGACGCGAACCAACCAAAAAATTACTCAGAAATATTCCATCTCAACTGGGCTACAGTTTTCCAGATAAAGCCACGAAATTGTTATGCTATACAATAATTGCTGTAGGCAGGGATATCAATAACTCAAAGGCAGACACTGTCGAATTTCGCATAATGAGCTAAAAATGATCCTTTTCCTCACTGATATATGAACAAACCATCAATCAATGAAATATTAAGCCAATGTGTCATGAGGTCTCCAAGAAGCCAAGCCAAGGAACGGCTGAGCGGCTCTGTGTTATACGTCGAATTATCGTTTGCGAAAGTTTGGCAAGCAAAAACGATAGTTTCCAGTAACAATAAAGGCTCTATGGTATTTAACTAATATTTAGACAGAGCTTTATTTGCAGACTGCTGTGCCATTCAAACGCTGAATCGGTTACTCTATCCTTCCATGCAAACGCAAATCGAAAACCATTACAAAGCTTAGTATCGAACGGCAGTAAAATGCGGACCAGAATGGAAAGGAATCGTAGAACTAAGAATCTAAATAAAGCACCTCTCTGGTAGGAAACGAGGTTTGCGAAGACTGAAACCATATCTCGTACCCTTTGATTTAAGCCATATCTCATACCCTTTGAAGCTTAAGGGTTAATTAAATTTCTGATATGATATTTTTGGTTTAAAAGACGGAGCATTTCTGATAAAGGAAGAATCCCGCCAAGAACATTTTTCTAGAGCCAAGGTGGGTCTGGAAGATCGACCCCTTTGTTTGTGCAAAAAGCTCACCCTTTTTATTTTGAAATTATCTTGGAAGTCTGCCTAAGTTTTTCTAAATCAACTAGCTCATTTTCTAGATATGCGACACTTTTATATAAAAGTTGCTTATCCTAAGACAAGAAGGGTACATACTACAATCTTCAGTGTCAAATGGGATAACTAAGTCGTTTGAAAACTAAAAGTACTTCGCCTCCTGTATTTCCCTCATCATAGGTCACAAGACGGAGTATGTACGCCATTTGGGCTGCTTTTGTCAAAGTTACGCTGTTCTTTTGTGTGTCTTATTATGAAGAAAAGTCTTCTAAACATAGCGTCGATCTTTAATTATATTTTTCAACTGGAGGTAATGAATCATTTTTCATAACTCGGGTGCTATGACTACATAATCACTTGCTTACATTCCGCGATACTGTTATGTCTTTTATTTCACTTCAAAGGTTTTACTTAACTTTCAATTAGTGAAGTTGGAAAGTGATTTGAGCAGAAGTGCAGAGTTGCGGTCAGTGAGTGTACAATGTTTCAATCCGCCAGAGAGAAATTTCGTATGCCTACTTATTTATAATGCCACCCTGTTGAAAATGACCCTTTGACATAAGTGAACCTCCATTAAAGCCATTTTAATGCTAGTCTAAATGTTTTGGAAGACGTTAAGAATCTTTCATTTTAATAAATTAAATTCACAACAGCTTTAACGAAGTCAGTAACTGTTCTCTCTTGTTTACTTGGTCATTCATTATTTTGCCTTTCACCAAGATGAACTGGAAACTTTTTCGGAACATTATTTCGTCAGAAAGTTTTCCATATCCATTATTCGTTTTTACAACAATTTATTAAAGATATGCAGTTTTCTTTAAAAGTAAACTGGTCTCAATACGGGATCGGAAATCAAACTATTCGATACGATGTGGCAAGAGCAATTAATTTTTCGAATCTACTTTAATGAAATACTCTAATTTCAAAAACTTTTTCTGATTCATAGTAAATTGAAGGCCACCGAGCCCCTATAATTACAACCCCTGTTTCAGTTACCCATTTGTGTCTATCAGTGGCGTCGCTTGACCTTCCTGACTAGGAGGGTGGAGGGTCATAAAAAGAAAAATTTACCGACAAAGTCATACATGGAGAAGAATTTAAGTGCTATTTTACCTACTGATAGATGATGTTACCGACAACATAAGGACTTTGTAGACAAACTGAAGATTTACCGACGAATTCTTGAAGTATTAGGGGGTATTACACCCCCACACCCCTACTAGCTACGTCCCTAATGTCTATGCATGAAATGATGTGGGAAAGTTTTTCTTTATCCTTGTTGTATGATGACGTCGAGTAGAAAATGACCTCTCTTGATAGCATGGGCTCGAATTCTCTGGTCCGGCTATTAGATGCGTCGAGTCACATTTAAATCCATGGCTACTTATTACTAATATCGCTTGAAACTTTCCAATTCTCCGCCTTATCCCGCCTAATTCAAGTACGCTTCGGTGATTGATTGTTCTGTTTCCAAGCCCATCTCATTGTTCAAGTACTGGGCTTCTTTATTTTAAAGAAAATCACTGTTATATGGGTGGGAATTCAACATTTCCAGTAGGATGTTTAAATCGTTTTTATGCTATCATTAAAAATGTAACATTCTATCGTGGGAAATCATTTAGATATTCGAGCGCAGTTCTGTAAATAGATGGGCTGGCTACACAGTTCCTTCACCACACAAATTGAAGAGGCTGGTAGGATAAACTGCCTCGCACTGAACTGAGAAAACACGTCACTGGTGAAAATTCTGGGCTAGTGTTAAGCCAGAACTGCGTCAGAGGCCACGCCAAAGCCAGTTTCGAAGCCTTTCTGCTTTAATTGTAACAACAATCGCTTGCCAATAGCCTATGATTTCTTTTAACATATTGCTTGAAAACTTTCAAATTCGTTTGACAGTTTCCTGATTTAGGCGTGATGGGCCCTATGAACCTCCTCTCCATCAAAGGGACCAAGTTCATCTCAGGACGAGTACTTGTTAGTAGCTTATAGTCACTGAATAAACTGATATTTTTTTGCACATTATTAGCAAAAAACGTGTAACCTGGATAAAGGCACTAAGGAAGTATTTTGAAATTTTGAAATTAGAGTCTAAGCTGATTACAGTAGATATATGAGTTGGTGTTGTAACTGGAGTAACTTCGTGGCATTTCCTTGTTTATATTCTGTCTATAAAACTGATTACGTGAAATACATTCGATACCAATTACTGAAAAGGATTGATCAAAATGTATATACCAAAAAATGTGAAATTTCTGATAGCAAAAATGCAAAAAGTTTATGTATTAAGTCACTATCAGTTAAGAATCGTACAAGAATACACAAGAATATTGCTGATCTATGAGTTGTTTAGCGGAATTTTGGGGAGATGCAAAATTAGGTGAAATAGCCACGTATTTTAATCTATTTGAATGGATTTCGGTCAGGTGGTTGTATATTAGTCTTAAAAAGTTACGGGTAGAATTGTCGAATATTTCACTAAGTTTTCTGTGTAACTTCATTGCGCCAAACCTTTTTGAGATTTTTATTTCTGTACACTACACACTACACACTACACACTACTACACGCTACTAAGACGACAGACCATACATTGCACACTACACACTACACGCTACACACTTCATACTTCATATACACGCTACACACTTCATACTTCACACTACACACTACACACTTCATACTACACACTACACACTACACACTACACACTACACACTACACACTACACACTACACACTACACACTACACACTACACACTACACACTACACACTACACACTACACACTACAAAATACACACCACACACTACATACTACACAATACACACTACACACTACACAATACACACTACACGCTACACACTTCATACTACACACTACACACTACACATTACACACTTTAAAATACACACTACACACTACATACTACAAAATACACACTACACGCTACACACTTCATACTACACACTACACACTACACACTACACACTACACACTACACACTACAAAATACACACTACACACTACAAAATACACACTACACACTACATACTACACAATACACACTACACGCTACACGCTACACACTTAATACTACACACTACACATAATAATTTGTTAGTTAATTTTCTAAACATTATTGTCTTATATTTTGATTGCTTATTGAACTTTTAAATGAAGTGCATTTCTTTTTAGGCCTTCTGTTACATTCCCTGTTTACGGTAAAAAAGCTGAAAGTCATATTTATAGAAGTAAGTAGCCTTAAAAATATTTCTACACTACAATACATCCTCTAAATAACATAAAATCTGTTTATACCAGTTGTGCATTTGAGTTTTGACTCTACTCAGCATCTAGTGATATGCATGTCACAAGAAACAGACCAGCATTGAAAATTCAATTCAGCACGGAACTGTGCGTTGCAAAATGTTGAGCAATTTAATTTTTCCTTGTTGGATATCAAAGAAATAAGATACCAAAGAAGAACTTCACGCATAAAAAATGACATGATCCCATATAGGGGTTTAGAGCTTTCATGTCGAAGGGTAACCCTTTCAAAATCTTGCTGTTGCTTTTAGAAAAATGATACAGGGTCCTCTTCTCAATCATACCTCTTCTACTTCTGTTGAAAGTTGTTTCGATAACTTTGGCAAATCAGTTTGCCAAACATGCTTTATGTTGTTCCAAAACATTGTGGGTACATATATTTATGTGGTTAAAAGCGGTGCAACAAGAAGACAGCTCACAATGTAATAAAGCATAATATTGTATTGCTTTTTGCAGTTAAGAATAATATTGTATCCTTTTATTGCGAAATGACGATGTTACCAAAATTCAAACAGCATACAAAAACACAGACAGTTGGAGCTTTAGATTCACAGGAACATTCTGTAGAACTAGACAAACGTCATTCCAAAATAACTTTCTTTAGAAACGTTTCTTCGTTTGTTATTTCCTATACAACTTTCGATGCGCAAACTCGCATTTTGAATTTGGAAGGAAGAATTAATAAATGAGATATTCCCATTCAAAGGGAGCCATCAAATGATAACAAGCCAGCTTTGTGGAAAGGAGTGCTTTAGCTGCAGGAAATCTGATTTAAAAAGGGCACACGCAAGCTGCAACAGTCTGTTGCCTCTGAGAGGGGTCAAGAGAGGCAAAAGGTTAGGGGCCCGTGCTCCGAAAGATAATTTTACACTAAAAATACTATCAGATTGTTAAATGATCTTTTACAACGCAAAAAAATTATCATTTCAGCAACTTTTATGGAATTAATGTCTGTAAGTTTATCACAGATGAAAATAATGTTAACGTCCCTGATTCATGACTACAATACTTTTGCAGAATCTTGTTGAAAATCCTTAAACAACTTTTCCAACAAATGCACCTAACTCCGAAAGACTAAAAGGGCGTGGTTACAGAAAAGTCCACAGGGAAAAACCCGGTTTTGTGACTCACACGTAGGTCCTAGCTGGCTCTCGACGGCCCTGTCTAGAAAAGTTAGAAAGGTCAAACTGATTATCTAAAATCAAAGACTTTCCTTGGGTTCTTAGACCTCAGATCTAAGATCTTGGAGTTTGAAGCCCGAGTACCCCGTAAAGCGAAGTCGCCATGTGAAATATTCATAAATGATTGTTTAATTTTTATGCTGAGGAAGATTAGCTCAAAACCAAACTAATTATTTTCTCTGGCGGATTAAAACATTATACGCTAACTGACTGCAACTCTGCACTTCTGCTCCAATTTCAAACTTCACTAATTGAAAGTTAAGTAAAACCTTTGAAGTGAAATAAAAGACATAACAGTATCGCGGAATGTAAGCAAGTGATTATGTAGTCATAGCACCCGAGTTATGAAAAATGATTCATTACCTCCAGTTGAAAAATATAATTAAAGATCGACGCTATGTTTAGAAGACTTTTCTTCATAACAAGACACACAAAAGAGCAGCGTAACTTTGGCAAAGACAGCCCAAATGGAACGCATACTCCGTCTTGTGACGTATGATTGGGAAATACAGGAGGCTAAATACTTTCAGTTTTCAAGCGACTTACTCACCCGAAGAGGCACTGGAGAATGGATACTCCATATTGTTTAGTAAAATGGGGGGGGGGGAGAGGGGAGATGAAGAAAGTAAACCAATCATACATTTAAAGCGACCTAATAATTGCATGGGACACTGGAGAAAACAGCATGCACCAAGCCTGCCTTTTGATAGAAAGGGTAAGGGGGCACAAGTGTCGTTTTCATGAAAGTGCCCATGTCCATAAAAGTTGGAATTATTGATAAGCAATGAAATTTATACGATACTCTGACCGTAACGCTATTCCATTTTTATATTGTTTATAGAAGCGTTACCCAAGAGTATTGATATTTCTCATGTATCAGAAGCCAGGCCATTTTCAAGATACCTGGAGCAGATCAAAACATGAATTTACATTACAAATGAGTTACTCGAAGCTTCGAATCATTTTCTAAGCTTGCCTCTTTTGCACCTGGATCATTCTAACATTTATGGTAATCCCCCCAAACCAAAGCGGTACCGGATCGTTACACATACTCTTCAACATTACGGGCGGGGGTTGACTCGGTCTCTGGCACTGATCTGAAAAAAATACTGGATCGAACAACCTATTGTTCTCTTACATCAGCACGATGAAGCTGATCGAGCCTCTCCATCTTGAGACCTCTCGTGCCTAAGACTTTGGGCTGCCATTTGTTAAAACGGTGCACAAACAGTGCTGCGCCTCAAATTGTGCATTAACCATTAAATTCTAAAATATTCTAAGATACAACAGGCCTAGGAAAATAAGTGAACAGTGAATTCTTTGTTACAAAGCTTAGTACTATGGCAAACATGTTTAACATCACTTACGAATGATGCTAGTTTTTGTTTCAACGGTTACATAAATTTTGCTATGAAAAAGCAAGTTGAACTGAAACTAACATGATTGCTCTTCAGTCTCATACAACACAGCGAGGTCTCAAAATGGACGCTGCAATGTGGAATCAACGCTGGGCTGGAGAAGCTCGATCCAGTCTTTTTTTGAGATCAGTGGTCTCTGGAAGGCAATCCAAATTGAGGCTATTGCTACATATCTGCCCAGGTAACTTTGAAAAAAACAGTCTGTGTTATATTTTCACAGTTTTAATTTCGTTTTCCGCATTTTAATATTTCCGCACTGCTTTTAGGGCTTGTTACTATGGGAAAATTTCATCCCACCTGCCGGGATATTTTTGTAAGCGAGACAGCTTTCGGCTTGCTGTCATATGAAACAACGCTATCCAGCTTACCTAGCTAAAATTAAACATGTGACTGGATTTGGCAAGCATTTTGCATAATCTGAGCGAACATTGTTCCCATATCGAGAGGGGGATGGCTGAATCTGACCCGGCCCACCCAACTTTCAGAGAACTCGTCGGTAAATTTACATTTTTAGCAAAACAATTTATGCCCAATGTAACAAAAAAAAATTTCTGTTGGAAAAATATGGTTTTGCATCTCTCACCCTCCCCCTCCCCAGCGAGAAGGGTCACGCTACGTCACTGATCTTCTGGCAGGGCTCGAATATAACGTCTCAAACCATAGTCTGGTACTGGATATAGCAATCAAATTTTGTACAACCTCCAAAATATTTCTTAACTGATTCATTCTTTTCAATTAGATTCGCAAATTTGTGGGCTGTGGCGAAGCAAAGAATAAGTTGAACCAATGGATTTGTCAGCCAATTAAGTGGGAGGACTAAAATTAAAAAGAAAGATATATCTTTCTGGGTCACACAAGTGCAGCCAATTTTGTAACCAAAGAAAACCTAAAATAACTGTTGAAAATTCCTATATCGATAAGGCAGGGTTAATCCTTTGGCCTTTCGCTAATTCTAGTATCTCTGCTTGTTGTATTCAGTACAAGAAAAGACAAAAGAAAACATGTCAGGCAATAAAGATTGCCAAATATCGAGAGCTTCTTTATATTACTGGAGCACTTTTCGTCTGAAGCTGTTCAGATTAAAAAACTCCGGACAATGACCGAAAAAAAGCAGAGAACTTATAGCTAGTCCAGGTGTGGATCGAAAACAACGTGAGTGGAAAAAAGAGGCGTTTGATTGGTCCTTTCCTTTTAAGTTATTTTCGATCCAAATCTGTTCCGATCCGTATATAGATTTTCTGTGGATCGAAAACAACGTGAGTGGAAAAAGAGGCGTTTGATTGGTTCTTTCCTCTTAAGTTATTTTCGATCCAAATCTGTTCCGATCCGCATATAGATTTTCTGTGGATCGAAAACAACGTGAGTGGAAAAAGAGGCGTTTGATTGGTTCTTTCCTCTTACATTATTTTCGATCAAAATCTGTTCCGATCCGCATATAGATTTTCTGTGGATCGAAAACAACGTGAGTGGAAAAAAAGAGGCGTTTGATTGGTTCTTTCCTCTTAAGTTATTTTTTATCCAAATCTGTTTCGATCCTCATATAGATTTTCTGTGGATCGAAAACAACGTGAGTGGAAAAAAGAGGCATTTGATTGGTTCTTTCCTCTTAAGTTATTTTCGATCCAAATCTGTTCCGATCCTCATAGAGATTTTCTGTGGATCGAAAACAACGTGAGTGGAAAAAAAGAGGCGTTTGATTGGTTCTTTCCTCTTAAGTTATTTTCGATCCAAATCTGTTTCGATCCTCATATAGATTTTCTGTGGATCGAAAACAACGTGAGTGGAAAAAAAGAGGCGTTTGATTGGTTCTTTCCTCTTAAGTTATTTTCGATCCAAATCTGTTTCGATCCTCATATAGATTTTCTGTGGATCGAAAACAACGTGAGTGGAAAAAAAGAGGCGTTTGATTGGTTCTTTCCTCTTAAGTTATTTTCGATCTAAAACTGTTCCGATCCTCATAGAGATTTTTCTGTGGATCGAAAACAACGTGAGTGGAAAAAAAGAGGCGTTTGATTGGTTCTTTCCTCTTAAGTTATTTTCGATCCAAATCTGTTTCGATCCTCCTATAGATTTTCTGTGGATCGAAAACAACGTGAGTGGAAAAAAGAGGCGTTTGATTGGTTCTTTCCTCTTAATTTATTTTCGATCCGCATACAGATTTTCTGCTTACTTTCGGTCATTATCCGATGTTCATACTCGGAAGAGTGTTGCGCAAAAAGTGCTTTAAAAAACTTAAAGAAACCTTTTTAAAATGATGCTCTTGAAATTACAATGACAATGTCTCTTTTTGACAATCATAGACTGGCTTCTGGTACAGTTGTGATTGGTGATAGAAAGAAGACCTCCCCATGACTCAATGAGTGTTTATTTCCTGTGTAATTTATGTTACGTCTCTGTGTTTCTATGAAGTAGCTAAGGCCTCTTCCTTCTCGGAAAATTTCAACAACGACAGCAACGCTTAGTATTCGCAAATTCATATAGTTTAGATTGAAATTCAAAGTTTCATGCAAAGTGGAACATTTATTTCAAGAGGCATGGCTTCATAAACATAGGCGTAAAAGCAGTACTATATTTGATCTAGTTTATTTGTCTCAGTACTATAAGCGAGACAAAATCAAAATGGTGGATTGCTTATAACTGTCACAAGGTATTTACAAACCCATTGCTTCTATCATCGTGCTAGCAATAGGAAATTGCAGTAGGAAATTGCAGTAGGAAATTGCAGTAGGAATGTTTGAAAATGGTATAGAAAAAAAGAAAAATCAAATCAGTATTGTCATTTATTAAGAATATATAGAATTATTTCAAAAAGTTTAGTGGAAAAACTGGTTCATATCGATATTCACGCCACATTACGTTGATACATTACAGGAAACAGGCCTAGAAGTGTGATTTTATGTTTTTAGGGAGAGCTTCCCTTCAATTTTTGTTCATTCTTCATACTTTCTGACTCCTTACGTAATTTTTGAAGCATTTGTGACAGTTCTCTTATCTTGCTACTTTGTTCTTTTCCAAAGCTTGCAGTTCCGTTATTCTTATATGCTGCCAGTTGGTATTCAATTTTTGAGCACTGCAGATCTGTTTTCGCAACTTTGAGCTCTAATTTCAACTCTTTGTTTTCAGCTGATCTCCGAGTGATATCTACGTCTTTCCGCGCTAGCTGCCTCCGCAATTCCTCCCAATCAAGTCTGCTGCCTGCGGATTCTGAATTCTGTAAACTCAGCTGCCTTTTCAAGCTGTCAATTTCAAATCGCTTTGTCTCTATCTCGATTTCATGTGTGCTTCGCTCTGATTCCAACTGTTGTTGACTCGTGTCTCTGCTTGTCTGAATTTCTTGCTCTAAATTGTTGAATTTCTTTGCGTAGTATTCCTTTTCCCGATCAAGCCTCGATTGAAGGGCAAAGACCTCTTTTTCCTTCATCTGGCATTTGACACGTTCTCTCTCTATTTCAGATACCATGCCTAAAGTACATAATTTTACATACTATATTTTATCTATAATAAATTAAAAGGGATTACTTAAAAATGAAAAGTAACAAAAAATGATTAGAATGAAATAGTTACAACATATTCAAGTCTTAATGACACAATGTATCATCTCTAAACTTTTTGAAAGTTTAAGTTATTGCATTTAACGAAACCTGCGTTTATATGAAGTTGATTTCTGAACAACGTTTTTATAAAATTCTTTCTCATATTCATTTTCAATATTAAAGTGAAGATGACAATTGCTGCTATCGTTTGGAAATCGTATAAAAGGCTGTATCTTACCTTTGACCGTGTCTTCCCATCGCTCTCGTTCCTTGGAGTAACCTGACAATTTGCTCACAACAAGTTTCAGCTCTGATTTCAAATTCATTTCAGCCTCCTGTAAGGCTTTGACTTTCTTTTCATACCTTGCAACTTCTTCTGCATGCATATCTTCCAAAGCGCCTTTTTCGTATAATTCACTTTGTGACCCTCCAAACGCCATTCTGTCCCCTTCACGTTTTGACAACTCCTCTTTCAGACAGTCTACTTCAGCCTTTAACCTAATAACCTCCGAATATTGACCTGTGACCTCTGTCAGCGTTTTCTTCTGCAAGTCATTTAGTTTCTCTTCGACCTCCGTCTTTTCAACCTTAAGCCTTTCTAGTTCCTTCAACGAACTGTCTGATTCACGAATCAACCTTGATAGCTTCTTCTTTGCCGTTTCTAAATTTTCTTCGCAAAATTTTCTTTCTTTCTCAGAAGCTATGACTCTATCGTTGCTTGTATTCAATGCGATTCTCAATTCACTGTTCTCATCTTGCAAGACCTCAGTTTCATTCTTAGCCTTTTCCCAGGATGAGTTCAAAATATAGAAATCAGAAACCAGTTTCTCCTTCTCTCTTTGGATGTTATCTTTCTCCTTCTCAATAATCTTCAATTGCTCTTTAAATGAATTGAAATCTCTTTTTATGCCACTTACAATAGTCCTTAGACTTGCAGCTTCGTTTTCCTTTTCCGCAAGCCTCATTTCTAAGCCCTTTCGTTTTGATTCTTGTTGTTGACTCGTATTCTGCAACTTATTTCTCAATCCAACAGAATCCTTCACCAATCTTTCATTCTCCTGCCTCTTATTCTCTGCTAGTTGTCTCAGATTTTGAATCTGTGATCTTAGATCATCTCTTTCTTCTATTGCTTCATCTCTCTCTTGCCGGAAGATCATCTTATCTGTTTCCAATGCAACAACCTCATTTTCTAGCCGTGAAACTCTCTCCAAATATCCAGAAGCATTTTTACTTTGATCATCGACGTTTGTTTGTAACTCGCTTACTCTTTTTTCAGCCCTTTGCAAATCATTTCTCAAAGTTGATATTGAATTGGCAACCCTTTTCTTTTCGTCTTTCAAGATCCTCATTTCATTTTCATTTTGATCTAATTTCTTTACAAGGCCTGTTACTCTTCCTTGAAGTGATAGTATCAACTCGTTCTTTTCTTCAACTGTTTGTGTTAACTGTTCAATTCTTCTTACTTTAGCCTCTAGTTCCTCTTCAAGTGACTCGATAATATCTTTCTTCTCCTTGGTTATATTCTCTGTTTCACCAAGCTCCTCTTTCAACCGCTTTATTTCGTTCTCCAGAATTCCGCTACGTTTTCTTTCAATCATGTTAGTTGATTTAGCGGCCTCAAACTCTTCAGAAACCTTCTTTAATGCCTGTTGCAGTTTTCCGTGCTCTTCCTTTATCAAACTTAATTGTTTTTCATATGCCTTTGACTTAGTTTCCTCATCTTCACTCACATTTTGAAATGCCTTGGCTGATTCTTCAGCACGCTTTTGTGCCAACTTTAGCTCACTCTGCAAAAGCTCATTATCCTCTCTACTCTCATCAAGCACTCCCTGTAGCATTTCCAACTTTCCCTCAATTGCAACAATATCGCTTGCAAGCTTCTCCTTTTCGACCAAATTTTCCTGACGCTTAGTTTTCAGGCTATCAATATGCTCCTGGGCTTCTTTTAGTTCGTATTTCAATTCATCCCGTGCTCTACAAACCTTTTTATATCTTTCAGCCAAATCTTCATAATCTATCTTTATGCTTTCAAGCTCTTCCGATACTAACGCATATTTTCGGACAGAATCTTCTAGCCTCTCTTGAAGAGACTCTTTTTCGCTTTCCATATCACCTATCAACGTTTTGCCATCATCAAGATTTCTAGAGTATTCCTCTATTAAACGCCTATTTTTACGTTGATCAGATCTTAAAGACTCTACGCTTGCTTCAAGCTCTTGTACCTTTTCTTTCTTTTCATTCAATTGCACTTTCATTTCATTGATGTTGGCGTTCTTTTCTTTCGCTTCATTTCTGATTCTTTCACAATCCGCCCTAGAATCTTTCAGATCCTGAGACAATCTTTCTATTTCTTGCCTTTGATCTTCTGCGTCGTTAATGAGATCCGCCTTTTCGCGCTCTTGCTCTTGAATCGCAGATTCCAACTGTTTCTTAAGATTATGAAGCTCGTTTATTTGTTTCGACAAATCTCTACACCGACCATTCTCATCCTCTAAAACCTCGCTTAATCTTTTCACTTCTTGCATTAACGATTCCTGTTTTCTTTCAAATCTTTCATTCAATAACTTTACATTGGCATATTGTCTAGCATCTTCAAGACTCTTTTGATGGAGCGACATATTTTCAGATTGCAAATCCTCAATCTGTTTTCTCAATCTGCTGCATTTTGATGACCATTCTTTTACTTCAGAATCCAGATCCAAATTTCCTTCTGTTAGCCCATCAATTGTATTCTGCAGACTAGAAATGCTTCTTCTACTTTCTTTAAGCTCATCTTGCAATCGACTGACGATTCCTGATTGCTGCTCAAAGTCGAACTTGCATTCATTTAGCCTCTTGACATTTTTTTCGTAATCTTGCTTTGAAAGCTGCAATTGCATTTGTAGTGAATCATTTTCTGTTACGAGTCGCTCCTGCTGTGACTTTAGGCCTTCTTTTATTTCATCAGATCTTTGTCTTTCTTGCTTCAGTAACTCAACTTCTTCCAAAGCATCTGCTACTTTTCTTCTAGTTTCTTCTAAACTTTGAGAGGATTTCTCGTATTCCATTCTCAAACTCTCGTAATCCTCCTTTGAAATATACTCATTCTCAGTCGTTTTCATCATATCCTTCAATCTTGTCTCATTGTCTGATGCATTCTTGAACTGAGTCTCCAGTTCTGCGACTCGGTTCTCTTTGGCACCAAGCTGATTTCGTAGACTTTCATTCTTTCCAAACTCAACCTCTAGCTGCCCACTAGTTTTCAGTAATTTTTGTTTTATTCTTGTTAATTCTTCTTCAAGTTGGCTTTTCAATCCCTTCTCAACTTCTAGCTGAGAAATATAATTCTTTGCAGAATTTAGATCACCTTTTGCATTCGCCAAGATTTTATCGAGCTGCTCAATCTTGTTGGTGAGATTTATGTTTTCAATATTAAGCTCTTCTCTGTGATCCCGTCCCCTTTTCTCTAATTCTTTTGTTGATGATAGCTGTCGTTTTACCTCTGACAGCTCGGCATCAAGTTGTGATTTTGCACTTGATTCTTCTTTCAATCTCTTGCTTAGCTCATCTGCTCGATTTTTCAAGCGTGAAGATGTCTGTTTTGTCTCCTTCAAATCAGTTTCCAATTCCTGTTTTCTTATCTTTAGATCCTCTAGCTCTTTCTGAAACTGAGTAGCAGATTTATCTTTGAGCTTAACCTCAGTCGCTAATCCAGCTTTGCCTTTCTTCAGTTGCTCTATTTCTCCCTCCAGCTGCTGCAACCTCCCTTCTAGTTCTTTCGCATGTTCCTCTGCTTCTTTTTTAGCATCGTCATTTCGTTTAACCTCTTCCTTGAACTTAACTGCTATCTTCTCACATTCTGCTTCCAAATCTCCAATGTGTTCTCTTTGAGTCTTCACTTCAACTGTTAAAGCATTATTAGCTTGTATTTGCTCAGCAAGCAGCTTGTCCTTTGCATCAACACTCGATTTATGAATATGGGAGGAAGTTAAGTCCTTCAGCTTCAAATTCAATCCTTCTTTCTCTTTCCTCGTAGAGTTCACTTCAGATTCTAGCAGCTCTGTCTTCTCTAAAGCAGCCTGCAATGAACTCTCTAATGATTTCTTCCCTTCTTGCAATGCTAGCAAAGCTCCATTTTTCTTTTCTATCTCTTGCATCAGACCTTTTACTTTCCTCGTTAGGGACCTACTATCCTCATTTAAATTTTCATTCAAAATCCCCTGCTCTTCAAATTGTTTCTCTAGATTTTCATATTTCTCCTGAGCTTCCTGTAACTGGGATGAAAATTCCTCATTCAGAGCATTTTCTTTCTTAATTGTCATTTTCAACTCAACTAATTCTCTTTCCAATTCTGCATTGTTTGCTAGGACTTTCTTTTCTGTCGTTTCTAACTCCACTATAAGTTTGTCCTTTTCTTTTGTCTTCTCGCTCAAATCCTGATTACCCCCCGTAATTTTTTCTACTTTTTGTTGCAACAAAGCGTTATTTTGGGTCAGTGCTTTAGCTTTGTTTCTTTCCTTTTCTAAGTCCATTTGCGAAATCGTTAACTCCTTTGTAACACTTATGAGCTCTTTTTCTACATTCTCCAACTTTCTGCTCTTTTCGTCATTTTCTTTCTCTAGCATTTGTATCTGTTTTTCAGACCTTCTCGTATCGTCCCTTGTTCCATCCTCTTTCTGGTGCATGTCATTTATTTCGTCTTGAAGATCAGTATTCAATGACTTCATTGCATCAATCTCTTTTCTAAGCACTCCGTTTTCTTTCAAAAGTCCATCATTCTCATCGTTTAGGTTGGCTAAACTCTGATCCAACTTCTTTTTTTGCTCCTGATACTTTGATTTTTCATTCCTCATTTCATCTATCTCTTTTTCCAGACGAGCAATATCCTCTCCCTGTTTAGCAGAATTCTCATCATTAATCTTCATATCTTCTGTCAGTGCTTTATTCTCAAACTGAAGATTGGAAATCAGATCTTCTAGCTCTTTTCTCTGCTCAGCTCCCAAACCTTCATCGATCTTCTTCTCTAATTCTCTGTTGATCTTTACAAGCTTTTGGTAGTCGTTTGCCAGCTCAGTCAAATCATTAAGCTTTTTATGCAGCTCCTCTCTCAAATAAGACTGCTCATTTTCCTTTTCTATGTAGCTTGAATTCAACTTTGCAAATTTCTCTTGCAGTGACTTAAGGGTATTATGCATTTTCTGGAGGTCCCGCTTGTTTGCTTTCTCGGCCTAAGAGTAAAATGTATAAGTTGTTTACTTTTGTACCAAGACATTTAGGTATAGTCTAAAGTAGAAGTAACGCAGATTTAATAAGTAAATATTGTAGCTTGTACCTTTCACGTGGTTGAGTAGAATTTTAGGTCAATAGCACGTGAGAATAACTCAGCACATGAAGTACGTATGAATTAGGTTTCGAATAGGACTTTTGTCATGCTCATTGAGAGTTTTAGTGTCGACTAATGCTATGGTTTTCCATATGTGAAACATTAACACAACGTTTTACTAGTCCATCAGGTAAGACAACTCCCAACTTCCCACATAAGAAATTCTTTTATAATGCGTTAGACAGATTAAAAATGTGAATACGTCTCTGTAAGTGTTTATCTTAAAGTGCCAATGAAACGAAATTTGACAAGTTTAGATAAAGGCACATTTTATAAGCAAAATTTGTTGATTTCAATGATATATGTATGTTGTGGTGATTTTTTTCTTGCCGAACCGTTCTAAATTTAGTTTGGAAATCCCATTTTTACGTTTCCGACTATGACAAAGCACACGTTATCTGTGACGTCATAAAGTTCGCAAACACATAAGCAGTCGGCGTTTAGTACACTAAGCAAAATGAAGGTCGCTATTGGAACTGCAGTAAAAATAGTCAAAGGGGCAATTTTAAGCCAGGGTTCATATCCAATCTTTTTTTTGCGCATCAAATTGTCCTTTTCGCAAAGTTTCATAAAGCTGTAGCAAAGTACGACTGAAAAACGATAATACGATCTTTTAAGGTCTGGGACAGTGTTCCCCAGTCTAAAAATAAAACAAGGGGGCAATTTTCAGATGGTGTTTATATCCTATCACTACCTGCGTATCAAACTGTCACTTATTGAAAAGTTTCCTGCCATTTTAGTGTATCAACTGCCCCCTGTTAAAAGATTGTTTTGTGCTATTGTACCTACCTTAGGAAGAGATGTTATAATGGCGCCGTTAAGGGCTAAAAATAGCCAAAAAGAGAAATTTTCAGTTAGGTTCCATGTCCAATCTTTTTCAGCATATCAGACTACCCCTTTTTGCAAATTTTCATGCTGATATTACAATTTGTACAATTGTTTGACTAACAGCCCTGACCAAGTGGTACGATGTGTTTTTGTGAAGAAGGAATCAACTGCAAACCTTGTGACGCCACTGATTCTTATGCTTTGTCACTCGCACTCATTGTTTTCAAAATCCCCAAAACAAACTTCCCTGTGCATATTTTAGACTTAATTTTTGTTTTATATTGCAAGTACATGTAGAAATTTCAATTTTTTTTTAAAAAACTATATGGAAAGTTTCATTTCATAGGCACTTTAAAGTATTTGTGCAAAGATAAGACGGACGATCTAAAATTAAGGAGCTGTTGAGCTGTTGAGCTGTTGAGGCATCAGGAAGAAGACGCTTAATCTGACATTATCGTTTGTTTACATGGTTAGATTGATCGGCTTTTGAGTGTTATTCCGCTCTGCAATGGGATAATATACTGTACGCAAATGTACGCTTATATCTCTGCAAAAACATTTTAATGTAGTAAAGTTAGTATATCATACTAATTGTACCTTTGGAGAGTCAGACATTCAACACTTTTACCAATAATTAATAAGCAGAATTTTCTTCAAAAGTAATTTTTTAACTTTATACAAATATTATTCAGGCAATTTCAGGAATCTTTTTTTTATCCTTCCAGAACATCAAAAAATTATTTCTTCCCATTAAACTTACAATTTTCTTTTCTTGAATAATCTTCCTCTGCGATTCTTCTACTTCCTGCATTTGCTCGTTCTGTTTCTTCATTCTTTCCACCTCGTTTCTCAATTGTTCCACAAGTTTTTTGCTAATCTCGCTGCTGTCAGCATTGTCCTCAAAGTCCCTCTCAAGGCTCTTCAGTTCCTCTCTCGCATCTTGAAGCTCCTTCTTCGTCTGACCATAGATTCTAGTAAGAGAGATATGTTCACTTTGCAGTTCTTGAAGCAATGTGTCTAGTTCTGTTTCCCTCTTTTGCAGCTCGTCCATCTCCTTGGCCTGAATTTCGTGTTTTTCTTCGTTTTCATTTAATTCTCTGGTTTGTTTTTCAATCTCTGCCTTTAGATGCTGAAGTTCATCGCCTACAAAAGTGACATTTTAAAAGAATTGAATTAAAAGAAAGTGCTTACCTAAATTTTTCAATTGGTATGTGCTACAAGCATTTGTGAGATTCAAAAAAGCAGAATCAGGATTAAGCAAGTCCTCAAAACCTCAAAACTCAAAACAGTAAAACACTTAAAACTAGTGTAAGTATTTTCAACTTTAACGAACTGCAAATTTTTATTCATAGAAAATGAAAGATTGACGTTGTTTGACATAAACAATCCTGATTGGTTGATGGAAAGCCAATCAGGTATGTTTTCTATACGGTTATTTCTACAAACGCAAAACTTTTCCTCGTTTTCCATCGTTTTACACTCCAATGATACTGAAACAATAAACTTTGCAAATATAAAGACATTTTGTCTTCCTCTATAACTCTAAATCTTATTTTCAGTACAAAAATCTACAATTAAACGGATTTAGAAGAAATCTCTTTTGTAACAGATAGAAGTAACAGGTTGCATTAGTTGAGTTCTAGGAACGGGCAATTGTTTCGTCGTACAGTCATTGACTTTAAAGGCATATAGTTGAAAGTGGCAAGTAAGAACTTACTCAGCTCTTGCTTTATCTTGCTTGTTTCTATCTTTGAATCTTCCAGCTCCTTCTGCAAATCTTGCTTTATTTCTTTCAACGACTCAATCTCCTTCACCATTTTTGCCAGTCCTGCTTTCAACTGGTCTCTCTCCATTTCAACATCACCTAAGTCTTTTTCATAATGCCCTAAATCTTCTTCCAGTGACTTGATTTTGTTTCGAAGAATCTGATCGATTTCAACAGCTTTGCTGATCTTTATATTCTTGTCTAAGAGCAAAAATATCCATGAGCTTCTTTTAAGTAACTAAGCTCTCTACATAGAGTCTTTGAAAGATCCTCCCCCTCCCCCTCCCCCTAAAGTTAAAGTAGGACGGATAAACATCCAAGATTGCATCTTATTTTAGAGTTTAAACAAATGAAATTGTTTCTTCAGCTTTAATTCTCCTGTTCATAATGCTACTGTCAATTTGTAACAATACGTTGAAACAAATATAAACAGTGATACTAAAAAGCTGCTCTTCAATGATCCTTTCCTGGATCATTTCTCTTTATCGCTACGTATTCGAAATTTCAATAGAAGAGTAATTTAAGCAATCGAAACCAACATTATATTGTCATATTAGTTTTACTCAGATACTTTACTTTTAAATGACGAAACAATAGCAAGCCATTCCCAAAATAATTCTCAGATGTATTTCTTACCTTACGAGTGGTTAAAGCTGAACATGAAATCTAAAACTTTCGGTTTGCCTAAAATCGTTTCAGCGTACTGGTTATGTACTAACTTAATAATAGCTTGTTTGACTGTAGTGAATCAGATTAGTACCGTGTCTCTGGAAATATGAATTGATCTGTAAACTATATCATATTGAATTCAATAGATGAATTGTCATTCAGGGTATCACGATATCAGCGTGAATAGACTCGATCTGACAGCTGGCTTCAATTGATAGCTGTAGTCTTTGATTTGGCAAAGTAATGACCAAATTTCACCTCAAGGCTAATTAGCCAATCGGACGGACCATGAATAAGTCATTGCAAACTGGAATTGGTGCTTTCCAAAACATGTTCTATCTGCTACTCAAATATGCATGATTTACTATGGGCTGTTATGCAGCAATTTAAATATTCCAGCAACTGATGCTACCGTGTATTTCATGCATATTGGAGTGGGAATTATGTTTGCAACCAGGGTTGCCAGAATGCTTGGAATGGTTGGCGGCCAAATATTTTACGCGTGACGGCCAAATTCGGCCAGCCAAACAAAATATACAAAAAGCTACATTTTGGCTAAGTCTTTAGAGTAATCAAAATAATGTAATCAAAATTGGCTTTGTTTGTTAAAAAAGCTCCAACTTGCTTTCAAATTCAATTTTCTGTTATCTTATACTTTGTTTCTTGCTTTGTTATTTGCAACTTTGGGATTGTTTTGACAAAATGTTGAATATTTTCTGTGCAAAAATTGTCATTTTCCTTGTATTCTTGTGGCTTTCAACATGCGGCCAAATTTCGGCCAACTTTTACTTTTTCGGCCAAATCAATTTTGGACGGCCAATAGCTTTGGAAAACGGCCAGAATAGAGGAATTTGGCCGTCAAAACGGTGACTCTGTTTGTAACTATGGCTTTTAAAGTCAATAATGGTACCAAGTTACCTAAATACAATGCGCCGTATCACAAACTGGATCTCATCAAATCATTAGCTCAAAATACCAGTGATCGAAAACATGGAATATGAACTGCTTTGCCCATTCACCTGGGTAATTTAGTATACTATGGTGCAGACAGAATTTTCCCCCGCAAATTGACAATCCTTTAACATTTTTGTTAGATTAGCTGTCATTTTTAAAAGTTTTAAAGGAGCTGCATTCATAGCACTTTAAATCACTACACCGATTGGTTTACTATGTGAATACCATCACCAAAATCACTACGGTAAGCGTTTTCTTGCTATTAAAGCAAATCTTATATTCAAAAGGTTGCAAACTAAAATATTTGAAAAATATGCGGAACATATGCAAATAAAAAAATGATATGAAAGTCATTTAAAACCATTGCAGTATGTATCAGGTGTGCCACAATCTTATGAAATGAAGTCGCACTAAAGCTAAATTTTTTAATTCAAGCTTTACTGAATTGCCATCAGGGCTGCTGAGTGCGTGACCGGTCCCAGGGAAACCAATGAGTGTAGACCCTTGCTTGACAACAAATTCCAAAATATGACAATCAGTATAGATTTCATAATTACGGGCCACAGAATGGGACAGGCGCCCTAGGGTTATTGTAATATTACAATGGCTAACCTGCTTGTCATTGTAACACGTTTAGTGTTGATGACTTTGTGTTGTTGTAACACGATAGCAAAAGCCAATTGCAATAGTGCAGTACAAAATCTTGCATTAGTAGCCCAGCTAATAAATAACTGTACAGATATCATAGGAAGTAACAGCCTTTCCTGAACCCACTTCTTTACAAGTTTTGCATTAACACATATTTTTCAAGCCTAGTTGATAATGTTATCACTATAGCCCGGGGGTAATGCTCTAGTTTTTCCCTCCTACCTTCAATTGTGTCTTTACATTTTTCAAATTCTTCCTGCAACATTTCGTATTCCATTTGAAACTCTTCATTTTCCGACTTTGCATCCTCTAATTCTTTTTTAAGTTTCTTAACGTCTTCTACATATTTTCTCTTTTCCTCAAGCAAATCAGCTGTCTTGATTTTTATCCTTCCAAGCGTTTGTTCTTTTTCCTCTGTCTCACTCTTCTTATTGCCAAGCTCAGCATTCAATTTGTCAATTTGGCCAGCAATCTGCAGAATTTCTGCGTTCAGCTCATCATTCTCGCGGTTTACTTCAGCAAGATCTTTCTCGTTCTTATTTACCACATCATTCAATCTTTTGGTATCTTTTTGGGAGGTAATGATCTGGACATTTGCCTTCGCAAGCTGTTGATTAAGATCATTTATAACCTTATCCTTTCCTGTTGACAATTTCTGCGTTTCTTTTAGTTGTTCCATTAGCTCCATGTTAGTTGTTTCGTCATCTTTTGTCTGTTCCACTAAACTCTCATATCTCTTCTCAAGGTTATAATATTTTTCCTGGAATTCCTCTAAATTCTCGGAAAAAGATCCTTTATTAACCAGCTCTTGCAGCTGATCGATTCTATCTTCCGCCTGAAAAAGCTCCTTCGTCAGCTCGTCCTTCGTCTGCTGGCAAAGACTGTATGCAGATTCAAATTCCTTCAGCCTCTTTTGCAAAATCTCGTTTTCATGCTGCAGCTCTTTCCGTTCACTTTCCTTTTTCTGGAGCATCATCTCCAAAACATTAGAGTTTTTCTCTCCCATCTTGGTTTAGCCAAGTGCTTTCAATGCTTTGAATAGCAAATGTTTAACAAATTATCTTCAGTCAGCTCAATCTCCAAGAAAGCAATGCAATACTCTGTTATATTAACCTAGATCGATTAGCAATCATTAGCCATCTCGGAGAGTAAGATAAAAAGTCTTTGATTAACGATCAGCAGACTTCAAACCAACTAAAATCTTGTGTATTTTAAATCAGTACTGTCTCATTCATATTCACAGTAAAATCTATATTCCACAGGATAGCAGCTGAACATAGTACTCCCAGAACTTGTCTTCGAGCTTCCAAGAGAAGTCAGTTTGTTGTACTGTTTCAATTGATCGCTTCCTGAGCATCATATGTAAACAAACACTTTCAATATCAAGGAATTTCTTTTGTACACAACTGGCTGGTGCCTCGTGTTTAATTTCGATTTCATAAAACATTCAGATATGCAAATATTGCCAAAAACCTCATCAGCTGATGACTCGAAGAAACATTTCAATCAATTATGCTAGGCTCTTTTCTTTTCACTGCTCACAGATACACCAAAAAAATTTGCTGAAGCATAGATGTCAATACAACTTGCATAGTTCCACTGCAGAAAGTACTCTTGAACCTTGTAAAACTGACATCTACATTCTACATGTCTTTGAGTGGTTTCTCACAAACAGAAAAAGAATCTGAAGAACTGGCACTCAGTTCAGACAATAACTAGAGAAATAACGAGTTAAGAGACAAGCATGCCTAGAATGAATCTTCAGTTGAATGGAAGCCATTTTTCATGAACAGGTAACGACAGGTTGTTTGTTTCATATAACGATTTGGCTGCCACAAGGACGCCATCTTTGAACGCTGCTTGCCTTTTATTTTGTAAATTGTATAGTAGGCAGGTGATAAACATACCCAACCCCCTGGTATCCTCTCATTGATACGGGATTCTTTAAATTGCTTTTGAAAAAAACGGGGTTGATGGGATTTGAATAGGTATCCATATGTTAGAACGATCACAGTTCACATTTGAGAGCTAGATTGCTTAAGACAAAACAATCTTGCTCAGAACGCGGGATTTTATTTCTGCGGAACCAGATGGAAATTTGAATACTGCTGTGTGAAAATGATATGTTTTTCAGCAAAACGAAGCAGAAAAATATTTTAAAACTGCTAAGGACAATTGATCAAAGTTCATGATCAGAATTTACGCACTAGAGTTTAATTTTTTATTTAAAAGTATTAATAATCATTAAAATACTCACCAACATGTCCTACGGTCGAATCTCCTTCGACCGCTCCAATGTGAAACAAGCGAGAAAATACTCCTTTATTTGAAGCCATGCTAGAGAGTGCCTATGATTAAAAAGCTGGTTTTATACTAAAGGACGATATTTAGTTAATCTAAAGCATAAAAGAATCGTGTTTATTAGCTTCTAATGTCAGTGAACGGGAAATGCTCGCTCGTACTTTGCTGCGCGGAAGATGAGGAGAGTTGTTTTTTGCGGCTGTCCTTGCATAAGATGGTTTCCAAACATGATTTGATACACACCAGTGTAGGGTCCGCTTTTATCCTTTTCCGTAAATCACTGTTCTTATGTTAGGCCCTACAATCTTATACAGAAGTCTGCTATTCAAATTTATTCTAATATCTTTATGTCAAGTAAGGAGAACAACTACCTGCAACGAAATCGAAACAAGACGCTCGTTCTAAAAATATTTCAACACAAGTCTCCTCATTAAAATACGCCATTCCATTAACCTTGCATCTTTCTTACAGGCTTGCATTATTTAATTTGACATGTAATATCAAAAGAACATTTTCAAACAGGCCCTCTCGTTTCATAAATATATACAAAAGCATTCTTAAGTTATTATCGGTCTAAATCAAACACAAATGGTTAGATCTTCCCAGGATAAATCTAATGCAAATTAAATGGCATTGGATGTCATACTTAATAAATGATATCAGGAGATATTGTTGCGTTTCAATACTATTTTAGATTATTACAACAATAATATTGCAAATCACGTTTGAAAAAGCATTAACACAGATCATGTTACAAGCAAAAAGATATGAATCAATAGGCTATTTCTATATATTACAAATCCATTTTGATCAATCGAAGCAAGATCAGCAACGAACATTGTAGTTTCAAAATGAATTTGTGTATTTTATATACCTTTAAGACAACTCTTGCTATTTCATGATTCAAAATCCGAAGCGCGTCTGAGTGAAAGCCGGCTAGGCCATCCGTTTGTCGTCATGGTTATCTCGATGTAAGAACTGACTTCCGAAAGGTGTTTGTAATCAAACTCTATAAGCTTTATAACACGATTTAAAATTGGAAATTGTCAGGCACCTGTTCAGAGATAATGCATCGTTTGTTTTTGCTGATTTTATCCTAAACATTATATGTTCGTAATTTTTGGCTTGATAGAGAAGTAGACGCAGTTACTAATCTATGCAAATACAGCGTTTTTACACTGCTTATTAACCGTCCATGTTACTCTTTGATCACCCGTCACCATGCTAAAGTAGATTCCTCAACAGTATTGAAAACATTATACGCTGAAGTAGCACCTTCTACACGTGTAATTGAAATCACCATGAGATAGATATTCACGAGAATCGAATCAAGGACGTCAAATTGAGTGACTCTGTATAGTAGAATGCATCGGACAGGAAAAGAAGGACTTTTTATGAAGCTGGTTTAACTTCAACAGTTCCTTTACCTAAGCACTCAAATTTTCAAACTTTTTTTATACATAGAGAAGGATGAAATTGCAGAAAAAGGAATACTGCCAACAATGATAAATTATTCTGCAACAGCGCTGTTCGATGCTTTCGAAATATTTGTAGCAATAAACAGTTATGTGAGAATGGTGCTCCTCAGTGATACCTTCTAAAGCCACTTCTCTTTAGCAATACTTTTGTTTTTTGGCAATAGTATCGTTTTCTCATTCTTTTGTCGATCGAAACGGTATTTAAATTCTTTTTTTATTGTTAGATATTTCGTGTTATTTACTAGCATTAACTAAATTAATACTTTCAATTGATATTATTTTCGCAAATACATTAAAAGCATTAAAACAAAGACTTCACAAAGACATGTTGATATAACATACTTGCTTAACAATTAGTTGAAAAATGTCAAATGACAAATCGCTCAATGCAAATCACTTTAGAATTATTTAAGCTTTGTAAAAGTCTCAACAGAAACTCTTTTCATATTCAAATTTGTAAAACAGCCTCGAATTTGAATTTATAACGCTTTCTTCAAGACGTATTTTCAGCAATGGACCAACTTACTACTTAAATTATAAGTCTTGACACAATATAAATATCCAAGGAAGAATTATTAGTTAGTGAAAACATCCTGCTTGTTTACCAAAAATCTACTTCATTTGCCTATGAACAGTAAATGACAAGCAAACCTTTACTACTTGTAACCCTGTATCAAAAAACAAACACAATCCTTAAAGGAAATCCATTCCCTACCACTTCTTGCACTTGCTCAGTTCATTTGCCTGGTAATCGCATTATGCGTGAGAGTTGCATTTGCAACTTCGAACAGCCCAGTTCTGTACACCGAATTCTATCCAGCCTATAAGCCCATTAGGTATCTAGTGTTATATAACAGATGGGTACAACAGTAACTTTCTTTTTTTAGTTACTTATTCACCAATTAACTCTTTTTGCAGATAAGTAAGATCTTTCAAATATCGTTACCTTGGGTCTTTGCTTGTGCTACTGCAATGCTGATATGGCATTTACATAGTGCTTTTTCTGCATCTTTCAAATCGTCTTCACCACTCAGTGCCTTCTTGTCATAGAGACAGCTGGTAAATGATGGCGGTTTTATACACCATTTATAGTGATTTCACATAATTATACGTCATAAAGGATTATCGATATGCATGTAAAAAGAGCTATTCCTTCCCTTTAAGGCACTATGTCCGACGCATTTCACTGGACATTTAAATTCCCATTGGTTAGAATATACAATTGGCCTATTGTTACGGAGCCAATCGGCTAATCTTCAATGTTTTCTTGATTTTAAACACACTGCAAAGCCTACTTTTGACTCTGAATACATAGTGCCTTTACAGAAACTAAACAAGGAGTTTTCACTACTTATTGACCAACTCCAGGACACTAGACACCTACTTAATGCGATCCATGTTGTCATTATAATAAACCCTGCATTCTGAGACATCGTGCTAGAGGTACAAGCTCATTCATAATCTGATCGTGCTATTTGTGTATGAAAATCTGTTATAAAAGTAACTGCTTTTTTGCCAAATTGATGAAAGCCTTTGTGTGGCCAGAGTTTATAAACTCAGATACAGGGAAATACTTTCAGTACTTTTCTGTGCAAATAATTTTGATGAGTTGAATAATTTTTATTTATGAGTTGAATTGTTCTTGTCTTGAGTTATATGCAAAGATTAATTAGGGTTCTTTGGTTATATGAATTTCTCTTTGAGTTTATTATGGGAATACGTTTGTACTAACATTTTACTCTGATCGCGAAGTACTAATATCAAAAGCTTTCAAAGAAATAAAAAAGCCATTTTACCATCATTATAGAAAAATTTGAAAATTCATGAAAAGTTAAAACATTTTACTAATTTGTAAATTTATTACACATCAACGTTCAGAAGTTGCTTGCGTTGGCTTTTTTAACACTCTAAGTGCGATCCTAGTCCTTTTGATGATGCTGTTGAGAACTGTAAAGAAAAAGTAAGCAAAAATTGATAAATGGCTTTAAACAATATTTAAAAAGAAATTGTGGTATTCAAGAGTTAAAATTACAAAGTAAATAACCTTTTTGTGTATTTTTAACGCATTTAAAAAGGTAAGGAGCGAAACATGAACATCTTTGTAACAGTTAGTTACAGACGCTGGACTTCTTTAGTATTTCAATCTTTTGTTTTGCGGCGTATCGTTTCTTAAAAAACCATCATTTAAGAATGCAACAAAAAATTATATTAGGGTCTAGACAGGTATCTATTTCTTGGTGATGCTGTTCCAGAATAGAATGAAAAATAAAACATTCTAAGAAAGGAATAAAGTGTCTTGAAAGTGGATTGCATCCCATAATCCTTTGCAAGCCTTTCATGCCTAAAACTATTGGTAGTTACAAAAGATCTCTCGTGCATAGGCATAAGAAACATAGGGGCTGGAAGGGCAGCAGCCTTTCCTTATCAAGCAAAATTATCGCATTTCAAGCTCAATTCGGACAGTTCTATGTTAATGAAGCAATGACATTTGAGCAAGATCCACACAACCCTTCCCCCCCTAAACTTCCAGCATCCGCTACGCCCATACACTCTTGCGAAATTATTAAATTGATCTCCCGCAAACCAACAACCCATTCCGTGGCCCCTGCATCAAGCCATTTACCTTTGTTTCATCTTCCTCAGCAATGCTGGAAATATTATCAGCTCGACCGTAATCTTCGGAGTGTTTTTTGCCATCAAGAGAGACACCTAGAAAAAAAGGTTAAATTTTCATCTGGCTGAAGTATTAAGCAGTAGAGATTAAGTATAAAACCAATTTTCACGAGTTTAAAATTTTAGGGGGATTTTGTAAATGTACTTATATTTTATTTCTTTTGTTCAATTAAAACATATACCTGAATATATTGGGAATTTTATTGGAACTTTGTAGGCTATGACAGGGATTTTCAGTCTCAATGTCTTTACAACATTCAACCACGTTTTGATATGTTGAAGAGCCGGCTTAATCACAAATTTTGAATCCCGTTTTATAGCATAGTACTGTTAAATTAATTGCTGGAAATCATTCGATTAACATTATTAAAATAGATATATTCCAAGTACGAATTCTCTAATGAGAATATTCATTTCATTTGATACTTTCTTCTAGACATCCCTTATGTTTGGATAACTGAATATGCAGGGAGAAATTCAATGAAACATTGGAAGGAGAATTTGACTGGAGTCGCTCAATGGAGATAGGACTCTTGTAAAGGGTGAGTCGACTTCCTGTTGATAACCAGTTGAACTTGGCTGAAGATTATTTATTCTAAACTTTCACTGCTTAGATGTGGCAGAGAAGATGTGAATTCAAAATGCAGTTACTTGAAACCAACAGAGCAGGTAAGAGCAGGCTGTAGATTAAAAAGAGTGAGAGGAAACAAGCGAAAGAAAGTGAGAGGAAAAATGTTACAAGAAAAGGTAAGAAAGAAAACAAACGATACGGACCAGTCGCAAATGTAATGCAGCCCACGACAATTATTTAGATCACACTCTTACGATAATTAGACCACGTTCAAAATACAATTAGATCTATTATTAAAAGAAATGTGCATATGGAAAGAGTGTACGAGGAAAAGTGGCGACATTCTCGCTCAGGTATTCAGGATTCATTTAGTCGAAAGATAAGCATTACGGGAAATATGGCTTTGTCTGATGGTATCGTCTTACTTGCTATTACGTATCGGCATGAAAATCCTATCTCATGAATTGTATGAATGGCAACTTACCTATTGATCCTATAGATCCTATTGACCGAATGTCCGTTGAGGGTCTCGATCCATCAAATTGGTCGTTTTCCTTGCCCTTTCCAGCCTTTGAAATCGTCTTTCGCCGCCGCATCTGAGACATTTTCCAAATTGTTAGGATTTTTGGCATCAACATCGTGGAGTATCTGCGACAGAAGCCAAATTAACACTTTTGAAACCAAAGATTCTGACAAGGCTTTTGTGTTTAACAGTACAGTTTACAAAAACTTAAAAAAGTGAAAGAGTCATCCACATAGTTTCATGTAGGGATTCTCGACCACAGGACATCTCTCTTAAACATGTAACTTTTATTGTAAATAGATGAAAATCGAGTGATTTGAAATACTGACTTGTGGAAAGTGTACAACCTGTTTTGTGCTGCGTTGTTTAAACCACATGATGAAAATGGGGCCTAATATTCCTGGTTTAAAAATCCATACTTTGTATTGGTACCGTTACTACCTAGCTCTTGAAGGTGTGTTTTAGGACATTAGAAAGCTACGCTTTTCCAGCAGTGTTCTAGTCTTTCATCTCAGTGTTATCTCAACACTTGGAATTATAGAGAGTTAGCGACTCCCCTCAGGCTAAGTGAAAGTTTTCCATGTCAGTCACTCGAACCAAAGACCTTGTAGCTGTAATCTGCGTTCCCAACAACTGAGCCATTCTTGCACCTAATCTACCCGCTTCTATTGCATAAAAGATAAACCTAGCAAATACCATGTGTTGTACATTCTACAAAAACAATATGCTGATTTTTCCATCCACCTACTTGTAGTGTTTCCTTTTATTCGGCAAAAGGCATGGGGCAGAAAACGTTTCCTTTGTACTCGCGCAGACGACCTCTCCGTGTACCAAGATGGCTTCTAACATGAGGTCTGTTATCTCAAAGTTTGTTTCGTCTTTTACACGTGCAAGCTCAGCAATCGTGCTACTCTCGCACAGCATTCGAATGTGGTCTTTTCTAAGGCTCTGAAAAATAATTAATTTTTACATATTGTTTGAGAATGATTAAAACAAGGTGTTCAGCTAATACATTTGAAAACGTTAAACGAAGTAGAAAAGTTTACAGACACAGAGGTGGTTTTATCAATCTATTTTTTCTCTTTGGCTGCAGCGTAAGGCTTTTGAAAAGCCCAGATAGATACAATCTTTTGCAATAACATGGGAATAAAGGATTGGTGGGATTGGGAGTCCATCCCATTTATTATAAGGAACATTTTTCTAACATTTACAGACCAATAGAAAAACAGTACTATTAGAGGGTGGGATATGTGAAATAATTGTGGGATTTATGTTAAAAGCATGAAAATTGGCATACATGGCCAATTTGATACGCTGAAAAGGAAAGAGCTTGGAGTCAACCCGAAACTTGCCTTTATGTTCTATTTTTAGTATAGGGTACTCGGTCCCAGTCCTCCAAGAAATTATTCACTGTATCTATTAGTCGAATTATGCTAAAAGCGTAAAAATTGGCATAGTAAGCCTTTCCTTTTTGACAGCTCTATCAGCCTCTGCCTATAATAACGATGAATGTAAGTAAATTGTATCAGAAACAAAATTGATTAAATGAATAAACGACGTTTCGAGCATAGCTCGTTATACAGAATCAAATTTTAGTCTGACTTGATAACGGGCTATGCACGAAACATCGTTTATTCATTTAATCAATTTTTTCCTGGTACAATTTACTTACATTCATCGTTATTTAACATTATATTGCACCGCACGCAATCTAGTATATTTATGGAGATTCTGTCTATAACTGCTTAAGCAATAATGACATCAAAAATAATGATGTTTAAGGTTATGCTTATCAAAATTTTAGAAAAATCAAATGGGATTTAGTACCTTATAAGCTGCTTGATCCATGAGAATTGGAAGGGCTATCCGAATGCCACAAACACGCCACAAGCTGTCTTCTAAGCCAGGAAACCTTTTCAATGCCTGGTACATTTTGTCTGCTGATATGTAGTATACCTTAAAATTCAAAGAAAAATATGAATGTACACGAATACGATGGTTGAAAAATATGCATGTTTTTGTAACACAAATGATATAACTACTAATCCAGCACCGATTCGGTTGGAAAGAGATCCGAATTTACAGGGACAATATAAAATAGAATGTATCACAAATTTTATTTTGTCACAATAATTTTGAATGAAGTCATACCTGTACTGCAGTTTCGCATACAACAGATGCATTGCGCATGCCTCCTGTCAGGAGACCCATCTCTCCAATGACGTTGCCAGCGCACAAGTAGTCAGTACTGATGTTCAAATCGGAGTCAACATACGAATGAACTCTTGTCTGAGCAGCTGCCATTGACACTCCTACAAGCTAAATCAAAACAACAGCAATGATAACAAGATACTGCTAATTTGTGACATATAACTCAACTACAGATTTTATAATCATTACAAAGAAATTTTTGGCGGTAGAGAATATTAAAAATGGCTTTATATTTAAAAAATCAAACATTTTGTAACAATCTAGAGCTTTTTTCTTACACTCTTCAGAGTATGAAACTTCGGAACATAGGTCAAAATCTCTAAGTTAGAAAGTATATGTACCCATTTTTGTGTATGAATAAACCATTCAGAAATTTGCCAATGACGTTTGTTTTGACTATTTAGGACTTAGTTCGCTTATTGAATGAAGCAAATTTTTTATGAAATCCAACGAATTAACATGCATTGGCTTGAATACCAGTTAGCTTTTTAAGTGACTTTGCTTTCGTACATTATAATATATTTTACAAAATCACAGATCTCTCACTGATCCTTCCTACAAGTTTCTCTTGCGGTTTGAAATTTCGACATTTGATCTCAATACTTCTAAAAAGCTTCTTTTTAAGGCACTTATTTTCAACATAAAAACCATCCTTACACTATTTATCCAAGTTGCAAGGAATTAATAGATAGATCATTTTTAAATTGATAATGTACTGTTTTTGATGAAAGATTGAAATCTTAGTTTTGCTTCAAACATATTGACTAGTATCATCGACTTGGTACCTTGACCATTCCAGAGACAATGAGATAAACGCCATCAGTTGGCTCTCCTTGTCTTAGCATGACGTCACCGAATTCATATGATATCATTTCGGCCTGTTCTATTATGAAGCTGACTGTTTCTTCCGTCATCACTCGTAGCCATGGCAACCCACGGAGAAGAGACTCGGGCTTTTTAGGGGCAATATACGATGGGGCATTGAGCTGCCTCTTCATTCTCTCTTGGATCAACTGCGAAGGATAGAAGTTTGCATAAACATAAAATAATCAAACAGTAGAGACATAACAGTCACTAGTTAACTTTTTTAATTTGTTATTTGTGCTCAATTGTCTACTCTAGAAATTGTAGGGTTTTGTTCGAAATTTGTGTGAAAAGTTAATAAAACAATAGGTGTGCACCAACATTCAAATAATTTTCGTAGGCTTATTCTAAAGTTGTCAAAAAGTTAGTCTTTTTAGCCCTTTTAAACTGTGTTTGCTACAGCATCACAGTAATTCGATGTTGTATGACATCGTTATACTAAAAGTATGCCCATTTTTTCTATCTAAATTTACGATTTATGCTCAACATGCATTTCCTATATGCTCAGCCATTTGTCTTATTCATTTTTCAAGACTATCATTCCGAAAGGATAGGCTGCTTTTTCAGTGAAGCGTTGGCAAATTACTTCCGAATTCAATTTTTTGATGGGCAAAATGTGTGATTGGATGAATCGTCACCTCCCAATTATATCACGTGATAGGTGCAAAAAGCGATGAACTTTTTCGTCAAGACATTCGAGTAGTTAAGGAATGTGAGATGGAATTTGGGACCTGTAAAAGAATAGATACTGTCTTCTCTCTATATTGTTCTTTATTCCATCAATATTATAAGATAGCCATGCTCTGTTCTGCTTAATTCTTGCAGGAAAATAATACTCTTCTCTGTCGTAAATTTTTAAAGCTTTTTACGTTTGATAGATCAAATTAAGTTTCATAGATATTCCTATGTGTTGACGAAAGGAGATTTTGTGCTCACCATCTCCAGCTTGAGAGCTTCTGATTTATCCATGACTCCATTTGATCTGAGTTGAGCCAACGTGTCAAGAGCGTTATTCAAAACAGATCGAGTCCCTTGCCTTGTCTTTACGGATATTGCAATGCCCGGATGTTCTCTTTGCAGCAGCCCTAGACAAAAAATAGATATCGTTAAATGACGATACAGCCACAGCTGCGGAGCAACCTCGAGATGGAGAGCTATAATGACGAAAATTTACGTTAAATTTACCAGATGGAGGCTATTTACGCTACTTTGCTTCGCTTAAAACTTTGGATGTCTGATCGTACTTTACTATTTGCATGAAATCCAAATGCTCGAGGCCTTTGAAAACAATGGGCAAGCAGGCATACTTTCTCTCTTTAGTTCCTAAGAGCTTGACTTCTAATAAAGTTCGAAGTGATGACAGCACAAACATATCTTTATCAGGACTTTTAAGTTCGGATCACATAACTTGAAAAAGGAATTATGCAGTACTCCTAAACGTGAAAAATCAGTGAAGTATGGTGACTGAAATACGCCTATATGAATACAGGCTCTTGCTCAATCAAATCATTGTAATCTGGTCCTCGTTCTAAAATTTATGAACTAGGCCAAAAAACAGTTAAACATTGGGATAACTCAATTCCTCAACTTGCTGTAATTCGATCTATTTGCAACAGATAACAGATATATCATATTTTTCACTTTTAGATGTATTTCATGGTGTTTCTCAAGTAAAATTGTCATTATTTAAAAATTCTTAAGATTCAAATGATTAAAAAGAGCAGCGCTTTTTTCGAGTAACGCCATACCAAGACTCCTGATGATATCGAGGCGATTCTTCTCTGATCTCATTTTCAGATCTTTCATTATTTTCTCGTCGACAACCAACTGGTCAATCATTTTCATAACATCCTCCTCCGCAATAACAAAACCTTTGCCAATGTCATAGCCGAAACTGAGTTGCTTGTTAATACGATCATTCACAAGATCGATCAGTTTTGGAATCAAGGACTGAAAAGAAACGGGAATAACATATGATGTTAAATTCTGGCTCACTGAATGGAAACAGTATGCAATTATGAATCGCAAATCGTGATTGAGTAAATAAGCAAAATCATCAAGATTTACAAGACTGCCTATGAAGAAGTAAACATTTAAGTGGTTATGGATTTTTTAACTGAACTTAAGAGCTTCTTATAAGTACAAAGCATTTCAAAGAGATAGATGGAGCTTCAAATTTCTTGAAAAGAGATATCTTTTTGTATCTGAGATTGAATGGAACACGCTGGCATCATCTGCAGGTTGAAAAGCTTAATTTTCTGAAGATCATTAACAACTATTTGGCACGAGCCCGCTTCAAAACACGTACATTTTCCCATTTTGTCCACACGAGACCTGCATAACTATACTCATTTGAGATCACCGAGTTGTAGTCATTTGCGTTCACCTACGTAAACTTTTCCTTTATAACCGGTCTCCTCTTGACCAAATTCACCTCAATTTTGGTGTTTTTGATTTTTACTTTAATGCAAGGGAAAAGTAGAGATCAGTAGAGTTCATGCAAAGTTATGAGCTTTATGTTGATTTGCGTACACCAAGGCTCTGATCTTGGTCCATTTCTGTTCAAATCCTTCTTACCGGAGGTCTAATGTTCACAACTAAAACAGCATTACAGACTTTTAAAGTTGAATGTATGTTCAGGCACAAGTTATTTTTTGTCTAAAACAAGCCTCACCTTAATCAGTTTCAACACACGACCCATTCGCAAAACACGGAAAATCTTGGCAACTTTGAGAACGCTTGGGGAGAATCCACCCATTGAGCCTGCAGCCACGATATCGAGAACAATGTCTACAGCGCTCAGAAATACGATGAATAAATCCAACAGATTCCAGTAGTCTTTGAAAAAATGCATCCTGAATCCGAATATCTGTAAAATATAAGGTTGATGCAAGTCAGAGTTATAAGAAACTCAACGCT